AACTACAGCTAAGATGTCATAAAATAGCTCTTCGTCTTCTTAAAGTCCATGCATTTTGGCTTTGGTAGTCATGTCTATCCACAACCTTCTGTCTCATGTACTTTCAATAACATGACACAGATGATCTTCCGGGTTATGATGTCAAACTGTTTAGAATCTTTTCTCTCGGTTTCCCTCTGCCTCTCCTCCCCTCCAACTTTCCTACTGTCACAATATACTCCAGTTTTCTACTTTTCATCACATGACCAAAGAATGCAGATTGTCTCTTTCTAAAGTGGACAATCAGTTCTCTTCGTGAGTCAGTTTCAACATCGTAGCAACAATGCAGATAGTTACTTATGAATCTAAAAAAACATTCACGAACACCAACAGAGAACAAACTCAGATGCTTAGATGCTGCATCAGATGTGCTGTAGTGAAAGATTACAAGCTGAAGTCTTACATAAAACAATGGTGGTAAGTAGGGACCCCCTTCAGCATTCAAACTGGGTTGCCTATTGTACGTTTACAGAGGTTCATTGGCTGATCAAGTTTACTACTGAACTTGCTACATGGAGTCTGCACCTTATTAACCAATATGTTTAGCTGAGAGATTTTCTTAGATGTTTATTTTTATGTATCTGCAACTGTTTTATATAGATACAGATGTTCTATAAATCTGCAACTGTTTTATATAGATACAGATGTTCTATAAATCTGCAACTGTTTTATATAGATACAGCTGTTCTATAAATCTGCAACTGTTTTATATAGATACAGATGTTCTATAAATCTGCAACTGTTTTATATAGATACAGATGTTCTATAAATCTGCAACTGTTTTATATAGATACAGATTTATATAAATCTGCAACTGTTTTATATAGATACAGATTTCTATAAATCTGCAACTGTTTTATATAGATACAGATGTTCTATAAATCTGCAACTGTTTTATATAGATACAGCTGTTCTATAAATCTGCAACTGTTTTATATAGATACAGATGTTCTATAAATCTGCAACTGTTTTATATAGATACAGATGTTCTATAAATCTGCAACTGTTTTATATAGATACAGATTTATATAAATCTGCAACTGTTTTATATAGATATAGCTGTTCCATAAATCTGCAACTGTTTTATATAGATATAGCTGTTCTATAAATCTGCAACTGTTTTATATAGATACAGCTATTCTAAATATCTGCAACTATTCTAACCATAAACAACTTTTAAATATCTGCAACTGTTAATCAGAGATATACACACACGCATACACGAGCGCCCACACACACACACACACGCACAACTGTTCTACATATCTACAACTGTTCTAAATATGTGCAACCTATCAAAAATCTGCTACTGTTCTAAATATATACACATTGTCTGCACATCTGTAAATGCTCTAAACATGTGCAACCTGTCAAAATATCTGCAACTGTTCTAAATATATACACACTATCTACATATCTACAAATGATCTAAACATGTACAACCTGTCTAAATATCTGCTAGTGTTTTTCAAAAAATTATAGCTGCAAAGGGCATGGTAGCTATCATTGCAGGCCATCCCTGTTTTTCATGCATCTATGAAGACAAGGTTCAAAGGTTAGGATGATAGCGTGATAACACTGACACAATACCTGTCTATACTGACTGACAATCTATGTTTCTTTCAGTCAAGATTACACAACAAATTTCACTCTCAGTTATCTAAATATCTTCTTCTTCATGTTCACCAGTTGTGAACTCCTGTGCAAGGTTCTGGTTGTTCGTTAACCTCTGAACTTTGGTCTTTTGTCAGAACCTGGGTATTGCATCCACTTTCCTTTTACACACCAGACTTATCTGTCTGAAGATTGTTAAGTTTCTTGCCTCTCAGGCGGATGTACTCTGACTTATAAGGAAGCCCCCAATAAGTCAACTCTTACGATATATTTGTTTGGGAGGCAGTGGATCTATTCGTTCTTGTCTTCCTCACAATGAGGCCCAGGAACCCATTTGGGATATCTAAAACTGAGTACTGCAGTTCTGCTGTTAAATAAATGTTATGTCTAAATATGGGTACTTCAGTTCTGATGTTAAATAAATGTTATCTATATATGAGGACTGCAGTTCTGATGTTAAATAAATGTTACGTCTAAATATGAGTACTGCAGTTCTGATGTTAAATAAATGTTACGTCTTAATATGAGTACTGCAGTTCTGATGTTAAATAAATGTTACGTCTTAATATGAGTACTGCAGTTCTGATGTTAAATAAATGTTACGTCTAAATAGAGTACTGCATTTCTGATGTTAAATAAATGTTATGTCTAAATATTAGTACTACAATTCAGTGTTATGTCAAACTGTTTTAGATTCGTTAAAACAAAAAGGTCACATGGAAATTGCATCTTTTTTGCTGCAGTCATGAGGTATTTATTTCTGTGAATAATAAAACAGACACACTTATGAAAGTTAAAGGTAAATAATACATTAGGGCAAGTTGTAGGATGGCACAACTGTGTAAATAATACAGCAGGAAATACTACACAATGGCATACATAAGTGGAAGTACACAAGAGGCTCAACCACTAGCTGATATCAAATTCCCAGTTAACACAATGATAACAGTTTTAAATAAATATCAAATAGGCTGAAGCAGCTTAAATCATCAACAAATATGTACGTATGTATTTACAAACGGTTCTTTTGACACTGGGTGAAAAGGTTTAACTCTTAGCTTTTATTCTATTACATAAACAATGCTTCTGTTCTAACAGTCCACTCCGTGTGGTGCTGACAGATTTTTTTCTTGATGGTACGCAGTACCGGCATTTATTTTTAAGTATCCCCTTTCCAGTGATTTTGTAATAGAGAACTACACTTAATGACGAGTAGTGACACCTTTTATAGACACTTTGGCGGAAAATTGGAGGGGGGGAGGGGGGTATAGGTTCTGGCACAACAATTTTTGAGAAAAACCCTGGATGCTGGTCATAACATTTGTCCACTGAGTCCTGTGCTGGTAAGATTTTGCATAAAACTTACAGTACGTTGCAATTAAACTTTACCAAACAGGAGATGTAAGTTTTGTGATCCATATATTTAGAACTAAAATAATAATTCTATGCAAAATACTTGTTTCCATTAAAATAAGAAAGACAATTCTTTTGAGTTACACACACACATATATATATATATATATATATATATAAAAACACACACTCACACCCAAATTCTGTGTGTGAGATCCAGGCCTTATTTTAAAAGGGGGGGGGGGGGAGATAAAACCAGCATGTCCTGAAAGAGAGCTAATTAGTGGTTTACTTAAATCAGATGTGATGCGGCCAAAAAGATGTAGATATCACAACCTAGTTGTAAACAACAACAAAATATTTAAACTGCTTTTTTTCCCATGCGACCACAGAAGAAGAATAAATTCTGCTGCATCAAAGTTAATTGAGAAAATCTACAGATCAGACAGAACAAACCTGACAACTGCAGAAATGGGTTTTTACAGAAGAAAAATGTGGGAAAAAAATCAAACAAAACTAATGAAGATTTCTTGATTGAGGAGAAGTCGAGAAGATAACTGGTTACTTGCATTAGAAGCAGACATTTTACATTCTTCTGGCCATGTCATATGATAAAATTGTCCCAGAAAATGTAAAGCATGTCATGAGAAGAAAAACCTAGATTACATCTCATCCCATGGAACTCTGGACCTGCTAGGAGAAATATAACTGGGCCACATCTTGTTACAGACAAACCTGGAAAGGTCTACCAGGACAACAACTGCCTGAAGAAGTTGCATATTTCTGCCCAATTGTAAAATCATAAGGACATGAGACATTTATAGCCACATGCAAAAAATCATGTTTACCCATGCAGGAGTTTTCCAGATATTTGTTAAAGTGTGACAGCATGAGTTTTGAAACTCACTATAGTGGAACATTATTTGCAACCTGCGGATACGTGCTTTTACAGACGAGTGATGAGAATGCCCTGGACAGACAAAAAAGAATAATGAAGATGTCTTGAAAGAAACTGACTGATGATGAGAACTGATTGTCCACATCAGAGGGGGACAATCTACATTCTTTAGTTGTGTCATGAAGAGCAGAAAAGGAATACATCGTGACAGTGGGAAAGTTGGAAGGGAAGACAGTGTGACGGAAGCCGAGACAGAAGATACTGGATAGTCTGACATCATGCCATGAAGAATCATCTGTGTAAGAGTTGACCAAAAGTACACGAGATAGAAGATCGTTGACAGACATGACCACCAACGCCACGTGGCATGGACTGAAGAAGAAAAAGAAGGAGGACGAGGAGAAAAAGGAGAAGAAGAAGGAGGAGGAGGAGAAGAAGAAGGAGGAGGAGGAGAAGAAGAAGGAGGAGGAGAAGAAGAAGGAGGAGGAGGAGGAGAAGGAGAAGAAGAATGAGGAGAAAAAGTAAAGAAAAAGAATCCAATTTTTAAAGGTTGGAGCACTGGTCAGAAGGTAAAAGATGCAGTGAGGTCCATGAATAACATCCTGTGTTGCATTTTATAAAATGAAAAACATCTTGTGCAATATATCCTTGTCATTGAGAGTAAGAAAAAGAATTCTTGCTTGCTACATACATCCAGTTTTAACATATGGATGTGAATCCTGGACAATCAGTAGGCAGGCCAAACAATTTTTAGAGGCCTCAGAGATGTGGTTTTACAGAAGAATGCTTAGAATACCTTGGACAGCCAAAAAGAGCAACCAAGAGGTTTTGAAAGAGAAGAGGTTATGAGAAGAGGGAAAATAGAACATGTTGTGACCACTGGAAAGATCTGTGGAAGGAGGGATAGAGGAAGACAACGAGAGAAGATGCTTGACAGTCTTGTTGCATGGCATGGAGGTGTGTCGGCACACGAACTGATACATGCTGCAGGAGATCACGGATTATGGAGAGGCATGATCGCCCACGCCAGTCGGCAAGGCACCTGATGATGATGATGATGATGATGTTGCTCTATAGTTGCTGTTCTCAGTGTGGTCTATGTGATAACTGTGGGAACATCCCGGCCTGTCAGCTCTTTCAGTTTAGAAGTCCGGAGAGCAATGGTCACAAGTGGCTTCAGAACTTCCTGCAGGGAGAAAGTGCAAACTCAGCAAAGAATAATATATACAGTAACATTACCATCACTTACCTGCTGGCCAGAAGGTATAGGGTTCAAATCTGCGTCTAGTGTATTTTTTTTTTTTTTCAAAACAGACCTTGGCTCCCTGTACTAGCCTACAATTGGTACCAGGTAATTTCCTGGAGGTAAAGGCAGCCGGCCTGATGGCAAACATATCAGTCATTGACTACTGATTGGTCTGTAAAATATAGTTCTAGCACAATATTTTAGATGCTCCAAACATGTGGAAAAAACTCAGTAAATAACTTTTTTTCTTTAAACTTATCATTACACTGGCGAAAACAGGAAGTGGCAGAGACCGAGAAAGACCATCACACTTTAGTTACTGATTGTGGCAGAGACAGTTGAGATTAACATCACAAGAATGTCTATAAAATCCCCCACCGCAGATTATCTAAGGGGCAGATGCTGCACCTTTAATCTACCCACAGTCTGCCTATGATGCCCCTGCTGATAGTGAGCCTCTTAACCACTCCAGCAACCATTTTAGTTCTCGTGTTAAAAAACACTCAGGATGTTGACAGAAAACTGCACTTTCATTTCTATCATAACTTTCAACATTGATTCTGTCACGTCTAGCCACTACACCACGGCGGCTCCCGAGGATATTCAATGCTGAGGGTAAACATTAATTAACACTAGTTTGGAGCAAAAAGGCCTATATAAACACTAGTGTGGAGCACAAATGTCTATATAAACACTAGTGTGGAGCAAAAAGGCCTGTATAAACACTAGTGTGGAGCACAAATGTCTATAAAAACACTAGTGTGGAACAAAAAGGTCTATTTAAACACTAATGTGAAGCAAAAAGGTCTAAAGACAAGCAGGCTGACTTCGGTGTATTACATTTTGTCTCATACAGCTTGGTCTTGCTCCACGCAACATGTCGATGTCTGCCGAGTGTCACATAAAGCATAACTCCATAGCTCCAGCAACAATCCCTGGGGAGCTCCGTTTAAAAAGTGCACATGTGAACATAACAAAATCTGTAAAATGAAATCATGACCTTCAAAGCATTTAGCACATGGATTAACCACTTCACCATTAACCCCTGCACTGTGGGTTAGCACTAATAAGGTTTATGAACAGCAGATGCTATTCCTTTTCCCCAAATGTTTCAGCTTCTTTATAATCTTGATGTCTGTGTAGGGGAAGGCCCATCTGGACCATGACTTCATAGTGTCTTTTTCCTATTGTCATCTGAACCATTTTTGCTAATAAAATATCCCAGTAAATGATCCAAATACAAAATATAACATAACAACCCTTGACCCCTTAAGATTGTAGAAGTGTATCAATGGAAGTACAGTTAAAAAAGTGTACAGTAATCTGGTAATCTTAGTTTCAGCTTCATAGCACACGGGTCGCCCCATAGTTGCTTCGCTCCTGTGCCAACGAAAAACACATAAAATGTTTATCACAGTTCAAATGAAATCTGCAGTTCACAGTGTTAGGCCATGCACTCAACGCAGAAGCTGGGCAGGAAACTACAGCAATTCAGTCCTGTCCATTTCTTGATGCTGTCATTCTTCATTGCCCACCTCTTCTTCGACTACCCTCTTCCCAGCGTTCCTTGAAGTATATGCAATAAAATCATGTCTCACCAAGTGCCCAAACCATGCTACCTTGCAACTTTCACCACTGCCAAAAGAGACTCCTGCTGTCCTGCAAACTATTGTGGAAACAAAATATATCTTCACCTGAGGATCTTGCTTGTAAAACTGTGCATTTTCATTTCTCTCATAGCCCTCCACATAGATGTGGATGGTAGCGCCAGAACTGACAGTCCCACTCAGGCGGTAGATTATCCGTGAACCATCTTCAAACAGAAAACGTATACCCTGAAACAGAGAGTTTAGCGATGAGAGTTGGCAAAATGAAAAGACACATAAGCAGAGAAAGCCAAGACCTAGACCAGGGTCGCCGACACAAAGACAATGTTGACATGGGGTGGGGGGGTTAGATATTTTCTAGAAAGGGGAGGGGGGGGGGGAGGCTTCAAGGGGCCTAAAGTTTACTTTAGTGAGTAATTACTGGGTGTGTGTGTGTATATATATATATATATATATATATATATATATATATATATATATATATATATATATATATATATATATATATATATATATATATATATATATATATATATATATATATATATACACATATATATATATATATATATATATATATATATATATATATATATATATATATATATATATATATATACATATATACATATATATATATATATATATACATATATACACATATATATATATACACACTGCACAAATCGCAGGACACCATAATGTATCATTCTAAGGGCCGATACAGAAAACGAAGAAGACATTCACAATGGGAAACAACTGCTTCGAATATCTGTACAAATATATGGGATATGCCGTTGTACTGACATCCAGGTTAAACTCTTTAAGCAGCAGGAGTGTCCAATCGTCAGGTGGCAGTCAAGGAAATAAAGCGTTCTGGGAACCAGGCATCTCCCTCCCCTCCCCAAGAACTTGCAAAAGGCCCAAATGCTTTCCCCTAACCATGTACACATGTTCTCTTTTTAAGTATTTGTTTTTACATTTCATATCTGAGTGCAGATCTGATAAGGAGAACTAACTCACCGGGGAACCAAGAAACAGTTCTTATCAGAAATTCCTCTTACCAGATAATTCAAGCAAGAAAAATTGCTGGGGATAAACAAATTGCTCTTGACAAATCAAATTCGCCATATCTGAGATCACATTGTATTTCAAATACATCAAACCATTTTTTTTGCCAATTAGAACACAATAATAATCACAATATGTGTGCGCACTCAACTCTTTCAGTCCAATGGAACGTATCATAAATCTCTCTTTACCACCCCTTAGGCCTCTGAAGCTAAACCCCCTGGGACTGAAAGAGCTGAATAAGGTTTAACTCTTTGAGTCCCAAGGAACGCATCATACGTTCATAGGTTCCTACCTAGAAGCCAAATGAACGCATGATACGCCGATTTTATGACTCTTTAATACCCCCTGGGCCTGTGATGCAAAACCCCTTGGGACTCAAAGAGTTAAGGCCCCCCCCCCCCCCCCCCTTTTCCAGAAAATTATAAGGTAGCTGAGGTCTACCCCCCCCCCCCCCCCCACGAGTTTTATTTGCGTCTGTCCCTCTGTAATGTTTGTGCTTACATCCAGTTTTATACTGAGATCATACCTGGTTCTTACTTGTGCTATGATCAGTGGGATCTTCGTATTCAAAATTGTCCAAGTACGACATTTTATAAGATCGGCCTGTGGGGTCTGAGAAGGTCATCCCCTTGGTTTTGGGGTCTTCGATGAGCTTTGTGAGACCTTCCACCATTTTATCTGCAGCTTCCACTGAAACATTCTCATAATCATATCTGAAATAAACGTGCCAGAGAGCTGTTCTTCTCTGTTTTACGTATGAGTAAATGCACAAAAATAAGACTCTTTGTGTTTGAATGTACTCATATCTGTATGTGTACTGCATAAGACACTCGGTGTGTTTGTGTGTGTATGCGCAAGTGTGTATGCATGCAAACACATACATACACACATGAGTGGACTATGAAAACATTATCAGCACAATGGTTATATTAAAAGGTGTGCTGGCTGTGTCGACTTATCAGTGCTTTCATTTCAAGGTCAATCATGCAGTTGTGAACATGTTCTGCCAGGGTCATCACCACTGAAACACTATCAGGAAAAAGGTTCAATAATTAACACTACTTGTTACATAAGATTCTCACTAAATAGATGAAGCGTAAACACTGGATTCAATACACAGGACTGCTATTCAAGAACACTGTGATCAAAAGAATGAAAAATAGCATTCTCCTTCTTCTTCTTTACATTCACTGGCTGTAAACTCCATCCATCTTCGGACTTTAGTTGTGTTCCAGAAGCTAAGTGCCGCATGCACATCCGTTTTACAGATCTGGATTATTTCTATATAGACTGTTGGTTTCTTGCCTCTGACTTCAAAGAATCCCCCCCCCCCCCCACTAGTCGGCTCTTACAACATGCTTTTGGGGAGGCAATGTATCTATTATTGTTTCTCTCACAATAGGACCCCGGAACCTACAAGGGGAATGAAGGGGGGAGTTTATATGTGAGGTGTGATTTTTGGATAGCCATATTTGGATCTTTGTCAACATTATGGAGTTTGAGTGTTATGTTGAGTTTTTCCTTCTAAATGATGATCTATGGGAGGAGACTGAACACACATTATACGTTAGAGAGGACTCGCTATCTTGTCTTCCAATTTGTTCTATCCTGTGCAATCCTTTCGATATCATGGATGGAACGAGTTCAGCACCCATGGCCTCTCTCAACAGCATTCATCTTGGGGTTTCTCTTGGACATTTTTATCTTCTCAGTCTATCTCAGCGCCCGTTTATGTATTCTTTACTATGTGCCTAAAATATCGATCAATATACTGCCTTCCTGTATGGGTCTTGTGGCTCCCATTGTAGGGAAAAGAGAAACTAACCAACTGTCTCCCCAAGAAGCATGTCATAAGAGTCGACTAACTGGAATCTTCCTTCGATGTCAGAGTGAACCTGTCTGAGATTCTTGCCTGCATACAAATATAAAATAATCCAACAATCGGCATACTAATAAGTCAGATCTGTAAAACGGATGTGCATGTAATACTCAAGTTCTGGAACAAGACTAAAGTCAGAATGTAAAGAAACAATGAGAACTTTCCACAAGACTTTTACAGCCCATGAAAGCAAAGAGGAGGAGGAGAATATACTGCCATTTTATGTTTCTTATAACTGTTAAAACAAGAAATTGCCCAGCTATTTTCCTCACCTTTCTGTAATTCATCCAATTTAATGTCTATCAATTAAATTTTTTAATGCATTTAACTTTCATTCCATGTTTTTAGTAGTTCCTCAACTTTCATCAACCAAACCAACAAAATCAAACATATAGAGAATCTCAACACAGTGAATGAACTCCTAGCGTCCCAAATGTTTGTCTACCAGAATCAAACAGCCTATATTGACCAGTTTTTTTCTCTCTCGGTAAGATTTCTCATTTTGAAATGCATACTTTGTCAATTATTTTCCATTTTTGTGCAGCTGTATAGATTAGAGGTTAGTGAATGCTTTCAACAATGTAACGATTTTTTAGTACTAGAGTACAATTTCCATCACTCAGAGTTTATTGTTGAAAAAATATAAATTTTTTTGCACAGTAGTATTGAGAGTTGCACAGTGGAAGAGATTAGGGCTTCATGATGTAATATTCCTATGGACAGCAGCAGCAGATGCACTACTGGCAACCTGCATTGTGGAGATGGCACTTAACTTTTTTCATTTAGTTTTTAACTGTGAAAAGATTCAAGTCTGCGGCTTCCCATAGATCCACCGAGGTTTTTCACCCTTATTCAAGTCCCATCGACGTCCCACAATCATGAGGAAGTATGATAGCCTGAGATATCTTGATTTTATGAACCACTCAGTTTGTAATATGTATCTAGTCTTCTTGAGTTATGGGCAAACAAGCTACTCCTTTGACAGAACAGATCATTACAGTCTGGAGAGAATGGTGCAGCGGGCAGTGACCAGAGGATCTGGCTAAAACTCTTCAATCAGAGGAAAGATCAAACTCAGCAGTTCTCAAACTGGGTGTTGCGGTTGTATGCCAGGGGTGCCGCGGCAATAATCAAGAATTTTTCAAAATCTGCCTTAGATCAGTGAAGACAGTAGTTTAACACAGAAAGGAAACCAAGAAGAGTGGGATGCAGGTGTATTCAGAAAACTAGGCTGCCGTGCATCCTCAATGTATGCTTATATTAAAAAGCAGGTACACAGGAGCAACCTTCAAGTGGTCTGAGGGTACAATTAATGACACTTCCCATAAACATCAAGGAAATAATTTTAAAAATTCATCCAAACCGTTTCATTTATTGCAGTAAAGATAAATGAACATTAAATTTGCACTGTTTTATCCTCTTTTTCTAACTATTAAAACCGCTTTAAGGGTAGGTGTGCCGAAAATATTTTTTCCAGACAAGGGTGCCGCGGTGAAAAAAGTTTGAAAAACGCTGATCTAACTCACTGTCCTGTTGTGCCAGTATATGTCACATAGGGCTCGCATTCTATTTCTCCATTCCACTCTATCTGTGCAATCAGTTCAACATCATGGATGGAATCCAGTCCAGCCTCTTTGGCTTCTCTAGAAGGAAAGACAAGATGGACATATAATCAGAAGACAAGATCGACAAACAATCTAAGTGCTACTGGTATTATCAGCATTAGAACTGTTCACTGGCGGCTACAGATGGGATGGAGCACTTAAGGGAATGTCCCAGATGCAGCGATGTTGGTTCTTAACTTGACACTACAGCTCTAAAGTTACTATCAGACATAACAGACACAAATTATTTGTTTAATAAAACCTGCCTTGTAAAGAAGTTCCTGCCATGTACCAGCCAGTGTTCCATTAGGATCTGAGCAACAGACTTCTGGGTACAGGCCATTACAGACAGCCAAGCCAGTACTGCCCAGATACCATCATTCTCCCTAGGATCAAACAAGACTTTAGTAAATACAATTGCACCCATACTGGTTTCTGTACCAAACAAGGAGCCTGAATCTCTGAACTGATCCTGCGACAGTGGATTGTTTGTCTAACCTCCTTAGATAAGGAAACAAACAGAAAAAAAGGTGTGTCTGCATTCCTAGCCTACTTCAGTTGTTTTAAATGTACTCATGTTTGTGTGTGTGTGTGTGTGTGTGTGTGTGTGTGTGCGTAAGTATGTGTGCACGCCCGCATGCATATATGTGTGTGTATCTTTGTGTGTGTGTGTGTGCACATGCGCACGTGTGTGTGTGTGTGTGTATGTGTGTCCCCTCCAGGTCCAGGATTGCAGCTTGTAGGGTTAACATTTCATGGACCAGAAGCCCTGTGTGATGGAATCGTTAACAGGAACTGCTATCTTCACAATTTCAGCGTATATTTCACTACTCTATACTTTTCAAAACAGTCACAGAGTATAAATTTTGTCCTGGCTATTAAAACTGTGGACAAATCAATAAAATGTCCAAAATTGTTTGCAGATGCTTAGATTTACACATGAAAAGAATGTTCACTAAAATGAAGAGTATGACAACCCAAGGCAATAATAGATGAAACTGGCAATACCAATTTGTATCTTCACACCAGAATGCTAGCCTGTTGTTATGTAATGTACATTTAGTATAGGACCCTTTTCATGCTGGCGGTGTCCGCAGCTTAGGCGTTGCGAGTCAAACTCATAATTCCAACGTACCTGGATTGAAACCCACTGCTAGCTGCGTGGATTTTTATTATGGTATGGGACGTCGCTGGTTGACCCAGCCTAAAACGGGTACCAGGAGGGAAGTCCTGGGGGTGTAAAGACAGCTGGTGTAATGCTGACCACATTACCTACCTACTGCCGACTGGTCTGTACAAATATAGGGCGCTCTTCTTATAAGCCTGATGCTCCCAAGGCGTATAAATAGATCTTACTTTTCAAACTAATGGCACCTTTTCATGCTACTGGCACCTTTTCATGCTACTGGCACATCAGGCATATGATATCAGACTTGTATTTGTATAGGGCTATCAGCATTTGACGATGTGATTAACATCGTGCTGGCCGCCTTTACTTCCCAGGACCTTATCTGGTACCCATTTTAGACTGGTTGACCTGTGATGTAGACATGAACCAAAGACCTTTAGCTGAGTATTTATCCTCAATGCTGCCATGGCTCTCACAACTGCAATGGTCTTATCTTCAACATAATCCAAAAAGGAGTGAAGAACTTAAAACTTAGCCATCTGATCATATTCGAAACCATGGGATGATTTTGATAAAGAATCAGTTAGAACATGATTACCTGATATGATCAGAGCCTAAACCAAAGCTTTCCTCTCCACACAAATTAATCTTGCCAGAATCCATGAGATTACCAAAAAACTTCCACCCTGTAGGAGTCTGGTAACATTCTTTTCCCAAATGTAATGCCACCCTGTTTCAAAAGCATATGATAATCAAGTTTATTTAGTCTGCACATAGACTTTGATCATTTGTTTGCATTCACTGGCTGGGAACTCCAGCAGAAAGTCCTAGTTGTTCGTCTATTTGGACTTTCATTGTGTGCCAGGACTTGACTTTAATGTGTACATCTGTTTTATTTACTTATTTGTGTGAAGTATGTTGTTCCTTTCTTCTCAGACAGATGTACTCAGACATCGTAGAAAGATGTTGATCTTATCTCTAGGATGACTAGCCACTGTTTCTGGACATGACTTTGCTTGTGTAGTGTCCTCTTCTTCTACAGATTTTACCCCTACATAACCCACACTATGCATGCAGACTGGTCAACCCTCAGGGAAATGCAAGGGGCAGAACATGGGCATTCCCCCACCATCCAAGGACGCTTCCATAAATTCACAGCTGACACATGAGGCTCTGGTCCTGTACTGCTTAACCTCACATCTAAATTCTGAGCTGTCCACTCGTCATAGGCTGTGCCCCCTTTTAGAGATCAATTGGAAGCAGCCAGCAAATCAGGTACTCTAATGACTATACAAATGGGCAAGAGCTTTATCAGCACGTTAGACACCTTTAACATAGCTGATTCAAGACAGCATGGCAATATAGGAGTAGCATACATCAAGCTTATGTTCTGTCACTCCAGTGAGCGGGGTCAATGATAGCAGAAACACAAACTTTTCTGTCACACAGTAGGGCAATTTATAGTCAGACATATGAAACTGTTTGTCACACAGAAGGACATTTGATGGTCAGACTTTTGGCCCCAATAACCAGATAAATGGGTCCATTGGTAGTGGACAATTGAACCTTTTATGTCACAGAGTAGGACATTTGATCCTCGGAAATCTAAAATTTTGCTGTTATGCCTGAGGACATTTCACTGATGAAAAATTGAGCCTAATAAGTAGTTCCGTGGGACTTTCGGTAGATAGACGTTTGAACCAAGGTCAGTCATAGCAAGCTATTCAGCCATCAGGCTTTACTCATGTTCTAAATGAATTTTTGATGGATGTTTTATCATCCATGTATTGGTGGGGGAGGGGCTGATGAGAGCTAGAGGATTTCTGGACCCTGCATATTCAGGGGGGAAGGGACCAACCTCGAGATCCCCTGCTGGCATGGTTTAGCTGATATAAGCCATAACCCAGAGTGCACGACAAGGATGTGTGGCAGAAGTCTTGCTTAAGGATCCATAAAACCAGCACAAAGCCTGCTGGAGGTGAGGTAAAGAATACCTTATACACATCACAACCGCCTAAAACCTTCCCTCATACCTGTGACCAAAATCATTGCATTGCAAAGTCTTAATCAATAATCAAAATAATTCAGACAGCAGGCAGCCATATTTAATAATCCAATTAATTCTGTCAGAACAGTATAAGCCAATAATCAAGTTAATTCAGTGAGAACATGGTCTTAGACAATAATCAAGTTAACTAAGTCAGAAATCTTAGGCGATAATGAAGTTAATTCAGTAAGCACACAGCCACCATCAACAATCAAGTTAATTCAGTCATGCCTTCACTGGTGGACAGTAAAGAAATTTGAAAACAATATAATAACCATCCCCCACATCTGCAATGAGTAGTCTAGTCTAGTCTTCTTCAGAAGCTACAGGAGCCATGGTAGTGAAGTGGCCAGACACTCACCTGCCAGCCTGATGGTTCAAGTCCACACCAAAGTGGATTTGTAAAAAAAGTGATCTTGGCTTCCAGGTTGACACAGCCAAAATATGAGTACCAGGAAATCTCTGTGGAAGTACAGGCAGTGGACAAGATGATGACCATACCACCCATCGGGTGCTGACTGGAAGTTTAGGTCTAACAATATATGCCTGCTACGCCTATAGCATGAAACAGGTTCTTTACTTTCTTCCTCTTCTTCACTTTATCTTTTACCGCTGCGGGTATCGAGGGAAAAAAAAAGGTTTTGCTTCTTGCTCTTCTGGCCACTCCCACTACAGACACATTGCACTGTTGAGTTTCTCAAATGTTATCTTTCCATCTGGTAATTAGTTGATAACATTGATATTTGTGGGTCCTTTACTTCCTCTGTTGGCGTCTGTGGCTTGGGCATTATGGCCACGTTTCGTAATGCCGGGTTCGATCCCACCTGCAGGCAATTTGGAAGCAGACTGTCTTGGTTGGTTTTGACAGTGGTACTGAGAGCTGACCATTCAAAAAGCGATAGCAAACTACTGAATATAAAATTTGCGTAGATAAACCACAGCGGCCCCCCCAAAAAAATGGTTTTTTACTTTCTGTAAAAGAAATTTCCACCTTACACTTGCAGTGTTGGTTATAAATGAGGTACTGTTGTTTTATAATGTATATATACAGAGTTGTCTTTGTACCTGAATCAATGACACACAGAATCAACAGATACCTGTCAAGTGCTTCAGATGTGGGCATGCTACGAGCAAAGCCTTTGACGCCTCGCTGTTTGAAGTAGGGGATATATTCCAGCTTTGATGCCAAAACTGCCAGGGAATCACACGGATTGACGTAAAATCCCCTGTGACCTAAGATCATGTAGCGATTCTGAAAATGGACACATAATTCATCCTGAATTCATCAATGATTTCTCTGCTGAATTTCACATCCTTTTCTTTCATGCCACTTATTCCTCATCTTTGTTTTTTTTTTTCTTCTTTGTGTTAACCAGCTGTAAACTTCAGTGGAAAGCTCTGATTATTTGTCCACTTCGGGACTTCAGTCTTGTTCCATAACCTGAGTGTTGCAGGCACACCCGTTTTACACACCTCAGTATGCAGACTGTTGATTCCTTGCCTCTCAGGCAGATGCACTCTGACTTTGAAGGAAACCCCTAATCAATCAATCAGTGGATCAATTGTTGTTTTTCCATAATGGAACAGCGCATCTTTTTAAAAATTTTAAAAACATTTAGTTAGCTTGTTCTTTTTCTCCTCAACAGATGAACACCGCCCCAGTGCAAGACGACTATTTTATTATGGACAGACCAGAACACCTCAGAACAGGGCCCAACCAATTACGTAACCACAAGTACACAAAATTCAAGACAGGTGTATCAGCCATGTGCACATGTGGAAAGGTGCCCCAGACAGCAGAGCATGTTCTCCAGGGCTGCACCGAATTTGACACATTAAGGTAAACCTTTTGACCAGAAAGAACAACGGTGGAATGTAAACCCTATGGACCACTGAATGAACTTACAACAACAGTGAAATTTATACAAGAGACAAAATTGCTGATATAGACTACTTACGTCAGGTGAACGAAAGAAGAAGAAGAAGAACGCATTCTGTACCAAATAATTGACATGGTAATCACCTAATCCATAACGACTAAACAAGAGAGCCTTTTTTTTTATTTATGCTTTCAGTAGCAATTTTATTTTGTTACCCACTTTGTTCATTAGAGACAAAGTTGGAACAAGAGCATGCATGGAACATATTGAAAGACAGAATGAAGTGGTTTGGCCATTTAGTAAGAATGCAACCGGATCAGATTGCCTATAAGGCCTTTTACAGTAGAACATCGGGAAGAAAGGTCAGAGGAAGACCCAGGAAAAAATGGACAGATGGAGTAGCTGAATACGGCCAGAAGATCCAAAAAACTGTCACTCAAATCACGCGAGAGGGACAAAACAAATATTTTAAACCACGAAACTGGGCTGCAACCCGGTAAAAGTGAAGAAGACAATAGATAGACCCACTTTGTTATAATGGAAGTTTGTTACAGCAAAGTGGCTAGATACTCACCTGTTGACCCAAAGGTCTTGTGTTCAAATACACATCAAGATTGATTTTTTTCCCTTCAAAATTGATTTGGGCTCCCCAGGTCGGCTAGTCTAAAATGGGTACTAGGTAATGTCCTGGGAAGTAGAGGCAGCCATGGTGATACTAACCTAATTACCCACCATGTGTCAATTGGCCTTTAACTATGTTAGTCTAGCATTATGCCCAATGCTTCAGTGCTGTAGAAAAGGGGTTCTTTACTCAGTTATATCTGTTGCTTCTCTTTTGTTTGCCTGATCATAATTTTTCTATTTAGATGCCACTATTGTGAGATGAGATGTATAAAAAAAATGAAAAGGGAAAAACAGAAAGAGACAGGGTCAGCAAAAAGAACTAAGAACAATGGTAGGCACAGTACTGTACAGGTAAAACATTTCATGCAACATCAAAGCAATAAATGTTTTGGTCATCTGGTCAGAATGGATTAAAATCAGCCAGCAGTTATATGAAAACAACAGGCTATAAGGCAAGAGGCTGACCAAGAAAGAGATGGGTGGATGAAGTACAAGAGACACTTCAGAAACACAATATAACGTTAACACAAGCTACAAAACTAGCAAAAGAGAGGAAACTACATCTAACTCCTCTCTGTGACACTTCACAGCATAAGCAGTAGGATGAAGGAAGAAGAACTATGCACATTCACAAAGATCTTTGATATTTGTACCATTTGTTTTTACATCCAACTTGTTTAGGCTTTGTTTATTGAGACAGCTTCATCGTTGTGATATCACCTTTGCCCCTTTATCTACAGGCAGAGCATAACAGCAGACCCATTCATAACAGTCACATACTTAGTTATTTAGTTAGTTGGGTTATCATTATTGCACTCAGGATATGTCTATAGGTGCTCAGACCCTCCCCTCAGTATGAACCCCAGTGTCCGGTGGCTAATAGTACCAGTTCTATGTTGATTAACAAGTCCTCTGATGTTTCTGGTGTGCGTCTCGTTTTTGTTTTTTTTTGTTGCTGTGCCAATCTTAACTCCCGTCTATCGTTCTGGCGAGTGATGTGGATTCACTGCCCCCAAAATCCTCCACCCTTCAAATTTCTCGGAGGGCATTAATAATATCAGTGTGATCCATAGGCTGACCTTTGGTAGTGATAGCGGATCCAGCCAACCTATCAGCTCTATTTTTTCCATCGACGCCCACGTGCCCCGGAATGAAAATAAAGGTGACTCCACGCACAGTGGACTTCTTTAATAATTCAAGCCTGAACCCTCTGGAGCATACTCACTGAGTACACATGTGCGGGTGTAGTTTTGTGTTTCGAAACATGGGAACGCTTGCGTTACTGCCATCACCTCCATCTTCATGCTGCTGGTTGTCAAAGAGAAGGCGCCGCTGGCTTTTTTGACTGTTCTGCCCGCTGAGTGTGCTGTGAAGGCCCATGAGCTTCTTAGCTGGCGTATAGTAGATCCGTCTGAGTAGATCAGTACATCTGCCTTGTCTGAATTTTCACTGATGACAGAGTTGATTTTTGCATTGACAACAACAGGATTCTGCACCCTGCATCGCCTGTCGAGTTTGGCTATACAGGAGAATGTACAGATAAACGCACGAGGCAAGGGTATCAACTCTGTACCAGTAGTGATGTCGGTTAGGTTGCATATTTGCTTAATAACATCTTCAGCCCGGCTTAGCCATGTTTCCCCTCTTCAGCCTGTCACCCTTTTCACTGAAAAGCGCTTGATGCAGTTGGTGTTTATTATCAGTGCATATTCTAAGGTATGCCCAAGCCCTCCACATCCTGATCCTTTGGTTCATGGTTGGAAAGTTAAGTAGATAAAATTCATCTCTCTATGCTATACAGGAAGTGTCTATTCACATCCCAAAATAATTGGCATGGCTTCATTTTGCACCTTTTCAAGTCATTCAATCTGTGTGAGGAGGGCCAGATAATATTCAAAAGGGGAAAGGACCAGCCCATATAACAGAAGTATTAGTAGTCTTTGCTCAATACTGGAAGCAGCCATAACCGTCACTGCAGATAGACCTTTGCGTGCTTTTGTTATCACATGGTCAACGTGTTCCTTGAATGACAAGCTGCAAACAAACCTTAGCCCGAAGTATGTCATCACGTTAGTTCTGATCAACACACTATCACCCATTTTCACTTCTGGTAAGCCTGTCTTGACAATGTGATTTGTTCAAAGAGAACCATGCCACTGATGCCTTTAAAGGATTTAGGTAGGCTTTGGAACTATCACAACAGGTGGCAATGTGATCGAGTTTGTTGTGCACTGTGCTGGCGAACTCCTGTGTGTCACGTCCTTGTCAATACATCAAAATGTCATTCACAAGTACACTCTGCAAGGTGTACATCTATACAGATGGCTCAGTGATTCATGGGGTGTGGTCTAGGTGGGCATACACAGCACAGGTGAATGAAAAGACTGTAAGAGAAGAAAGTCCGGTCTTTAGTTCAACTACTTCTACAATGACGATGAAGATAGCAGTTGCCACAGGAACACTTGCATGGCTGGTAGAATAGAACGCAACTCACGTACTGATAGTGACAGACTCAATGCTTAAGAAAGATCCAAACTAGCAAACTCCAACCACAATGGGCTGACAGCATCCAGAAGTCCTAACTGAAGAAACTATCTTGGATGTACACACCGGGACAGGCTAAAGTGAAAGGACTTAAAGCCAACAGATCGGCCGTGTCTACAGTGGTTAGTGGAGGAAGAAGTATGGACAGGACAGACATACTGAATGTGCTGCATTCTACAGACTCTGAGACCAAGCAGTCACAGATGATGAACTGCCTTTTGAAAATGGGTATTAACTCTACCAGACCGCTTTTCCAGTAATTTCCTAATCTATCGCTAAACTGCTGTACCTAATTTTTGGTACTTTGCATACTACGTGATAAAACGCGTCACAAACTAAAAATAAACTACCAATCATGATCAAACCTCGTGTTTAGTCATTGCGAATGACTGCCTACATGTGTTTGGATTTACTTTGTGACGTTTAACGTGAAAAAACTCTGAAAATTCACAGTGAAACGAGCTGATGAACCAAGCACATCGACAGGAAAGTGAAGTCGGTCTAGGTTTTTCACAGCCCAACAGGTGTGATCGATACTTTGGTTGATTCAGACTCTAAGGGGTCAGAATTTCATGAAGAATACGTTCCCAGTTAAAGTAAGATAGTCAGTGAGAGCTCGAGTGATGAGGAGAATCTTGAAAATTATAGATTTAAAACTAGATCAACACTAAATGAAGGGGGCTTGTCCCTCAAACAGCAACATCTGGTGCTAACTTTGTGAAACAAGGCTGATCCTGCTGGGTGGATTGGCACACAGAGGTGGAATATTGGCACTAGATGAAAGGTAAACCTATTTTCTACAATGTCTCCAAGTTTCATCATATTCTAACCACTTCTTTGCATGTAACTAATATTTTTTATCACCTTGGTTTTTTCGTGTTAATGCCCAGCAGCTCAAGTATAGGGGGCAGTTAGGTTCAGGGCCTCAGGTTTGGTAGGGTTTTACGAGGACAAGCATGAAGAACACAAGTCACAAGGCAAGGAAAGATGATATGCTAATCACCTCTTACTGGGTATGATGAGCATGGAAACAATGAGACAGCTGCTGCATAGCAAGATGAGGCATAATGGGTCCGACCAATGTGCTAGGATGGTATTATAACAACTAACTATCAATAAGCAATAAAATCAACTAAGACTTGAAACAAGGCACCAGCATGATCAGAACAACTACTAACCCCATCTCCATTAAATGCTGCAGCAAAGTCATGGTCTCCCTTCTTCATGACTGCAACTAAATCACTAGCATATGTTAAATTGGGATCGGGTTTTCTGCCTCCAAAGTCTGGGAGTGGCTCACAGTTTATACAACTTTCTGATGGCACGCCCATTTCTTCAACAAAAATCCGTTGTAGATATGGTCCTGTGACTAGCAAAGGGGTATAACAATAAATATTTTATTTATTTTTATGTGAATTATTACATTTAAATTGGATTCATGAGAGAGTCACTATTACAGAACTTTGGGAGAAAACTAAACAAATTTAAGTGAATCAAGGGCTGAAGAAAATATTCTAGCACTGGATATGACACACATGAAAAAAATTACACACATGTAAATTGAGTTAGAAAGTGAAATTTAAAAACTGCCGAGAATATGGGGTGAGCTGCATACCACAGCAAAGGATAGGACAACCTGGCATGTATTGGTTGACAGCCTATATCCATTAGGGAATGAAGGACAGAAGAAGTAGAGAACGAAAAAGAAAAAAAAAGAAGATTATTATTTTTATTTAAGGACAGGTTAACCTCCAAATTGAATTTGATTATATCTGCTGGAAACATTGTTTTCTGTAAGAACATACTAGTTAAAGATTGAAGGAAAATTAATTTTGGGGGCTAATATCAACAAATTTTCACAGAAATTGATTAAAAATTTCACGTTTTTATGCGGAAAACAGCAAAATTTGTAATCAACATTTACCCAGATATTTCAAAAACTAATAAAGATCGCCTAATGAAAATTTGCACATAAATTTTGCTGGTCAAGTAAGTGGCAGTCATCTCTGGCCAGGCTCTGTTCACTTCTGATAGACTGGATAGCCTTTTTCTTCTGATAGTATGTTACTGCATTCTCTTCCTATTCAAATTCTGCCCCTTACTTAGCAAGTTTATATGCGGTTTAATTTCCGGGCACCCATTGGAGTACAGTGCACTTTTGGCCAGCCACCTTGCCAAGTTCAGATCTCAGATGAGGGAGTTTACTACTACTGAGGGCTTGGAGCACCAATAGTGCATCTGTGAGGATGACCACTTGGTGGCAGTCAGTACGGGTGTTGTGTAACATTTCGGCAGTCTGCTCTAGTGCTAGGATATCTGCTGTGTAGTTGGAACAGAATTTAACACTGTGTAAACACTTTGTATGGCAGTGGTTGTCTGGATATGTAATAAAGACGAAAGCAACAGCCATTTTTAACCACACTGGTTGCTGACCCATCTGTGTAAGCATGTCTCCACAACTGTTCAGGATAGTTTTCCTGAATTATAATACTAAGAGCAGCTGTTCGTTTCTGAAGGTCACTTGACTTATCTCCAACTGTGAATTCATTGACTGAAGTCATTATCAGTACTGTGTTGCTGACCTGCATCCAAGGTACAAGGTACAAGGTTCCAACTGTGTTGTTCTCATGCGTAGATCTGCTTGATACTGACTTCTAAGTCTTTTTCCTCAATGGACACAGCTACCATGTTTGAGATGACCCAATGCCAGATCATCTAACCTTTCATTCATTTGGTGTGACTGCATACTATTAGACTTCTCCATATGGATCATAGTTTTAGTGTCTCTTCTATTGGACAATGTCTGCATTGCAGTTTTTTTCTGCAACTCCAGAACTGGTGTAGTTTTTATGGATCCTGTGATGACTCCAAGGGCTTGATTTTGCACTCTGTCTAATAATTGTAGATGGGAATTAGCAGCTGATGACCACCCTTTTGCACCAAACTCCAAGTGGGGTCTTATCGCTCTATTAAAAACTTTCTTTAGGGTGTTTACACCCCAACTTGTACCTGACAGTTTTCTAAGTAGCCCTAGTCATATCCACCCTTTCCTTTTACATTTTCTGAATGTTTGTTCCATGTGAGCCTTTTATGAAATGTCACTCCAAGATAAGTGGGGATGCTTTCTTCCTTTAGCAAGGATGTTTCTAGGTGAATACTAGCAGCTCTGTCCCTGGGGGAGGGAAGCATTGTGGATGTTTTGTCTGTGTTGATGGCAACATGCCACTTTTCTGCCCATGTCATTAAGAGATCAGCTGTTTGTGGCATTCTTAGATTTGCCACTGTGGTATGTTTCATCAGTACACCAGAGTGCCAAACTATCTGCATAGAGGGCAGCCTTCACTCCTGTAGGGAGGTCTTTCACCAGGTCGTTTATATAAACATGAAAGATAGTTGAAGAGATAACCCCTCCCTGTAGTACTCCTTGATGAGGAACACTTTTCTACTCCTCAGGCCATCAAGAGTGACTCTAATTCTCCTGTTGTTTAAGAAGACTGGATCCATCTTAGCATGTTTTCTTGCATACCATTTCTCTTCAGTTCCGCAAAGAGACCATCTTTCCACACTTTGTCAAAAGCTGTCTTAAGTCAACCCACACCGCCAGGACCTTTTTCTTCTCTTTGAAGGCATCTTCTACAGCCTGTGACATATAAATGACTTGGTCTTCTATGCAGTAACATTCTCTAAATCCAGCTTGCTCTGACACCAAGATCTGCTCAGATTCTAAATTCCACTTCAGTCTTACCGCCCTTTTAAGGGTAGAAACACAGAAGAAGAAGAATAAAAAATTCATCACCATAAAAAAAGTCCTTCCTCTGTTGGGGATTATACCTGGACTGCTATCTTAGTTGACTCTACTGAATCTTTTCAGTTAAATTGTGCTTCAAGGGGGATTGGAAACCACAAGATGGCAGGTGAGGCTATCAAGACCCGCTCTCCCAAGACCAAATAACTGAAATAATAAATAATTTATCACCATTCATTCTGCAACTGAACTGTTTATTAATTTACCTCCATTATTGCTGTAACTGTCTGGATTATTTCACTAGGGTAGATGCCGGTGTGTTGAGAAATGAACAGGCGGACAGTCTGGCTGGCTCTGCACGACTTGGTGGAATACTGATACATGATAAGGCAGACTGGTTAGTGCCTTGTGGGAGTACAGTTCGGAGGAGCAGATGGATCACCACAGTCTGGTGAGATTGATGCAGGGGGCAGTGACGAGAGGTTCTGGCAGATGCTCGAAGCTCAGAGAAAAGGCAAGACGGACGTTTAATCAGAATTCTACTTGCACCATTAGTATTGGAACTACTGAAGATGGGGACGGAGCCCTTATGGGAATGCCCAGAGTGCTGTGATGTCGGTTCCTGAATCAACTTAACTCAACTCATTAATGCTGCAACTGAAATCTGTATAGATTTACCTCCATTCATTCCATTCAGAATGACACGCTGGCCTTTCAGAAATGACCTGATAGCATCAAAATCATATATTTCTCTCATGAGTTGAAGATAATCAGCAGTGATTTCAATGACTTCTACCGTAAATTCTCGTCCTGCTACTTTGAAGGTGGAAGTGCCCACCTTAGTGATGTCAACTTTTAACTTTGGAACAATCTTGTACTCTGTAAGGGTTGTTGTCAACTCATAAATTTTGTCTGTGATGCATTCTGGTGCTGGGCCTAAAATTATTGAAAAGTCTTTTAATCTAAATATTTAACAACCATACCTACTATATATATATATATATATATATATATATATATATATATATATATATATATATATATATATATATATATATATATATATATATATATATATATATATATATATATATATATATGTATGTATATATATGTGTGTGTGTGTGTGTGTGTGTGTGTGCGTGCGTGCGTGCGTGCGTGCGCATGTCAAAAAAGACTTCAGCTCGCTTGGCGAAAAAATAAAAACTCATCACGTTCAACCAGCATTTCGAAAGGGAGAGCTTTTGGTTATAATTGCGACTAGGTTATGTGCGCCATATAAAATGGCTTAGCACTGCCTGCCACCAAGTAGCTCTGAAAAGAACTCTTGTGGTGTTGATGTCTTTACTGCCTATAGTACAACCTATTAGAGTGGTGTCAGTTGCGAAGAATTTTAGACTGAAGATTTAAGGTCACAGTGCAGTCATTTTTATTAATTTTGTCCCCAACAACAAAAACTTCCGTCACTTTACCGAGGATTTAAACCTTGATCTTTTACTTGAGAGCTCAGGATTCTAACCAATTGGCCAGCCATTCCTCAATAGTTGATAAAAACTACATAATTTTTTTTAAATGAGGAACATCAGCAACACTGAGAAAGTGGATAGAATATGATAGGGTGGAATATGGCAAGTGCTGTATAAAATATCACCATAGCAAAAGTGGCCTTCAACAAAATGCAAAAGATTCTTACCAATAAGAAGATGTAAATTGCAGTGAAGTAAAAACAACATGCCACAGCAGACAGAATTTAGACAGTGCTACTCCACAGAAGATCAGACAACTTACCTTTCACAAGAAATTGAGGATGCCTTCCAGGAAAAGAAGTTGGTGCTAGCGGCTTGGATAGATCTGAAGAAAGCCTTTGACAAGGTCTGGAAAGAAGGCCTACTGAAGAAACTGTAGGGTGAATGGGAGTATGTTCAAATGGGTGAAAGCATACTTGTATTACAGAAGAGCCCGAGTACAGATAGACGGATTCAAGAGTAAGAAAGTTTTGCTGTGCCATGGCGTCCCACAAGGAGGTGTCCTGTCCCCCACACTCTTTCTAGTCTATATCAATGACCTGGTTTCTGAACTACCCCATGGAATTAAAGCTGCAATGTATGCTGATGACTTTGTACTATGGTGTACAAATGAACATGCAACAGTGGCCACCAGATTGCTACAAAGAGCCATAGATGCAATGGCTGAATGAGCTGACAAATGGTGTGTCAGCATCAACATAGGCAAATGCAGCACCACCCTCTTCCCCCTCTCTCCAAAACAAAAATCAGGCGTCATGCACATAAATGGAGTACCCCTGAGAGACGATAAGGAGCCCACATACTTCGGAGTTACATGTGATGATAGGTTAACATGGAGAAAGTGCATCGACAAGGCAGCAACCAAAGCCAGGAGGAGGGTAGCCATTCTCAGAAAACTAAGTGAAACTACATGGGGTGCTAGTGGGAGAATACTTAGGAAAGTTTACCAACAAAGTGTTCGACCACATCTTGAATACAGATCAACAGCATGAAGTTCGGCATCAAAAACCACACTGCAAGAATTAGACAAAGTGCAAAACCAAGCACTCAGAGTTACCTAGCTGTGATGGAGAAAATGGGAATGACCCAAGCACTGAGTGAACGCAGAGACACCAAGATGCTAATACAAACAGAAAGGTTTCTTACTTTGCCTAGTCAGAATGAAAGATTCTAAAATCTAGCTTTGGGACGACTAAAGAGAAGTAGTTTCATCCACCAGGCCAAACGGCTCTGCAGACAAACCACTGATCCGCCTGCACCTGATAGCCCCTTAAATGCTGTCCCAGAACGGATCCCCTGGAGAGAGGAGTGTAAGTTTCCAATACACATCAAGACAGAATTGAAAGGAGTATTTGACAAGGAAGAACAAAGTGTGCAGTGTAAAAAAGCCACCCTGTCTACTTGATGATGAATACCCGCAAAATCTTTGGGTCTGTGTTTACACAGATGGGTCAGCAGAAAGTGCAGTCAGAAACGGTGGTGCAGGAGTGTACATTAAGCATCCTAATAATACTAAGGATACAGCCAAAATACCAACAGGAAAGCACTGTCACAATTATGATGCAGAAGTTCAAGCCATCAAGATAGCGGTAGAGAAATTACTAAATACCGGGTATTTTTCACAACCAGTGGTATTCCTGACAGATGCAAAAGTGGTACTTCAGGTAAATTCTGGAAAATTACCAAGTATACAGACACTATTATCCGAACAAGGCAACCGTTGTAATTTAGTTATGCAGTGGATACCTTCCCACTGTGGTGTTTCTGGAAATAAAAGTACTGATAAACTAGCTAAGGAGATATAAAGAACAACCCGACATACCAGTCTCTTATCAACAAAAGAAGAGAATAATCAAATCAATCAGAAAGCTATCAAAACTGGCACAAGACGATTACAATATTATGGACAGACCAGAACAAGTCATTTCCTTTGCCTTAAAACAGGGCACAATCAACTTTGCTGCCACATCTACACAAAATTTAAGATTGGCGAATCAGCCATGTGTACCTGTGGACTGGCACCTGAGACAACAGATCACATCCTCCAAGACTGTCCCAGTTTCAACACTTCCATGCAAAACTTCTGGACAAAAGAGACACTTGTGAAAGTCAAACTTAGTGAATTACAAAAGACAGCGAAGTTCATACTAGAGACAGTATTGTAGATATAGATAATTTATTTCAAGTGAACGAAAGAAAAAGACTTGCAGGGAGAAAGAGTGTTAGGAAAAAGAGTGTTAAAGAGCTATGTAGAACCTGTGTTGTTATATGCTTGTAAAACATGGACAATAAACAGATAAACTGAAAAATATTTACTTGAGGCAGAGATGTTCCTGAAAACAGTGCAAAATCTTTCACAGAGGGATAGAAAAATAAACGAAACAGTCCTCATCGATATAGATGAAAGTTGTAAACTTAACAGAACAATTAGACTAAGTTAGTCAATGTTTTTTGGACATGTTATGAGAAAGAATGGACTCGAGAACTTGGTAACAGGCAAGACTGATGGGAAGCAAAGAGATAAATACCTGGATTACCTGGCCAGATGAATGGGGCAAGACAAAAACACTGAACTGATCCACGATTCTTGTGATCGTGTGAGATGGTGAATCAGGACAGCCTACACTTATCCGCACAGCACATGATCATGACAAATTAAACTAATTAAAACATGATAAACAATGGTGTAGTTGAATGGACAGAGGGGGGAGGGTGAAGGGGAGTAGGGGGAGAAAAAAAGAGGCAAGGAGAAAGAGGGAGAGTGAAGGATATTAACAAACCTACCACCATTTTCAATATTAAACTTGATTCCAAAGTCTCCCTTGGAGCCGCCAGGGTTGTGACCTGCTGTCAGGATGAAGCCTCCATTCAGCTCCCATTTGCGGATAATGTGTGAGCAGGCTGGTGTGGACAGGATACCATTCTGGCCAAGGACGATTTTGGAAACCTGGTAATACAAACAACAAAGATGCACACTTTTTCAGCATTCTAAACCCTTCAATCTTTCAGTACCAGAAGGTTTGTTGAAAGATTCTAAGGAAAGAGAAGGAGGTGATGATTACTTTGAAAAATCGGGTGTGATTTGCATTTAAAGAGGCTAAAAAGACAATGAAGTGACCGGAGAAGCCACACTTTCTCAGGATGATGTGACAAAATATAAGAAGTAAAAGAATGATTGAATTTCTTGGCAGTAGAAAATGACACCTCATGCGTGTCTTGGGAATGAAAGAGTTAAGGTTCATAAATGCAGATATCCCCCATGTAATTCATTTCTGTGGCTGCCCTTCTCTTTTTAACTGAGGACCTCAAGTGTTTGTAGGTCTGCCTGTATGCTATCTTTCCACTGTCTTTTTGGTCTGCCTCATGGTCTACGCCAATTCAACTCTTTAATGTAAGCAGTTTTTGTCTCTCGGTTATCTATCATATTTTTCAATATGCCCCAGCTATCTCAGTTTATTACCCCTAGTGATGACAGCTCAAAAGAAATTTAAAGAAATACCAAATTGAAAATTGTTTATTCTAATGTCAAATCAGTTATACTGTTTGGAGCTGAAACATGGAGAAAAACTAAGGCAATTACTAATAAACTATAAACATTCATTAACAGGTGCCTGCGCAGGATAAAGGGAATTAAATGGTATGACAGAATCACTAATGTAGAGCTTTAGGAGACAACTAAGCAAGTACCAGTGGACAAAGAGGTGAAGAAAAGACGCTAGCTTTGGATAGGACACACGTTGAGAAAACCTGAGGACAATACAACTAGAATGTATTTGCACTGGAACCCACTAGGGCATAGGAATAAAGGAAAACCAAAAAATACATGGAGAAGAGAGCTAGAGAGTTAAGTTAGATGGGAAGGACATGGAAAGAGCTGCTTGCGATAGCAAAGGATAAAACGACTTGGCGTGGGTTGGTTGGGGGGCCTATGCTCCATTAGTGGTTAGAAAGTCAGAAAAAGAAGGATGACAGTAATTAGTGGTGACTCAAACATGTTGTGAATTTCACTGTTGTTTCTCACTCTTCATTCTCAGATTTTTGCACCTTTGATGGATCCAAATACATGTCATAAGACTGTTCTAAAAAATTTAAAGATACAGTTAAAAATATAAAGAGTGACTGACAATTCAACAGGCCAATTCCAGATACCCTATTTAACCTGCTAAGAAGTTACAGTTAAAGGCCCTATAACAACTTTAAAAGATACTACACAGATGTTTCTTGCTGTCCAATGTCTAAACATTATCTGGAGAGGATGGTACATCTGGAAGTGACAAAGGGAATCTAGTAGACACTCTACACTCAAACGAAAGGCGACACAGACATAAAATCAAACTGCTACTGGCACTATCGGAACTGGAAATCTTCACTGGCTGCTGAAGATGAGGATGGCGTGCTTGTGGGAATGAGTGCTCTGGTGTCAATTCTTAGCTCAACACTCAACACCATCCAAGGTGGGTTAGGACTTTGATGATGAAGTATAAACAATGCTTGTTTTGCTAGCAAACATGATCAAGAATGGACAATGTAGGTGTAATCTCAATCAGTTCAAAGCTGAAGAAAGAGAAAGGTGAAGACAGGGATGCTTCAAACTCCACTGGGAAGGTCACAGGTAGTGAGCATACTTTGGATCTTTTCTCCATGCTTTGCCAGTGTAGTGGGTAATGAACAGGCAGACAGATTGGCTGGATCTGCACCACTGGGTGGTGAATTGACACATGACAAGGCAGAAGTGGTCAGGGACCTCTGGGAAAAAGCAACGGACTCAGTAGAGAAACAAGATTATTATGGCCTGGAGAGAATGAGGCACCTGGGTGTAACCAGAGAGTCTGGCCGTCTCACTACACTCAGAGGAAAGGCAAGACGGACATATAACCAGATTGTGACCGGTACCATCAGTATTAGAACTCTGCTGAAGATGAGGAGGGAGCACGCATGGTAATGCCCCAAGTGCTGTGATGACAATTCTTGACTCAACTCAACTCAGTGCAAAGCAGGAACAATTATCATCTGATGATGGGGACACAGCACATACAATGTCACAAATTTATAATGTTTTATTTCACTGTTGTAGTCTACTTCATCATCTTCTTCTTTTTCTTCTTCTTCTAAACGTTCACCAGCTGTAAACTCTGGTGGAAAGTTCTGGTTGTTCAGCCACTTCTAGACTTAAGTCTTGTTCCAGAACTTTTATGTGCACATCCGTTTTACAGATCTTGCTTAACTGTATGCAGATTGTTGACTGCTCACCTCTCAGGTAGATGCACTCTGACTTAGAAGGTAACTTCCCCAGTTAGTCAAGTTTTATGACATGCTTGCTGGGAAGGCAGTGGGTCTATCCTACCCCCCCCCCCCCCCCCACGCCATATGGGGCCCCTGAACTCACATGGGGAGTGTTGTAGTCTTGCCATGGTCCTACCTCAGCACTTTATTATGCAGTCAGGGGACATTCTGTCCTGCAGCAAAAATTTTCTTTCCAAAACTACTTTATTTAACATTAACTTATTACAGGTCTATAACAAATCAAGATTAAATAAGTGTATTTTAAAAGTATCTGATAATGATGATGATGATAATAAATATAACACTAACTGTAACACTATACTGTGCAACATCAAATAGTTACTGTCAGTAGTTTATGTTACTGTAATGAGGTCTGTAAGGTTCCCCAACACTACCTTTCACAACTACATCACTGCCAACAGGAGCCACATTAGCATACTGGCTATCACTTTTGCCTGCTGCCATGGTGGTTATAGGTTGAAATCCCTACTGATATTGATCTGTTAAACTGAACTGGACTCCAAGCCTAAAAATGGCATCAGGACATGCCCTGAGAAGTAAAGGTAGCCGGTGTGATACCAGCACTATATACTTACTGCAGTCTGGTCCATGAAAGTATGGTGCTGACACAATATTTCCCATAAACTTCAAGGTGTGAAAATTAGGTTTTCTTTTAGGTACACCACTGCCCTTTTTCAGTCATACCAGAAAGCATTACTTTTTTATCCTATTAAAAAAAGGTCTTGGTACTTCACACAAAATGTCGTTAAAAGGAGCTGGTACTCATCACAAAGTGTCTATTACAGTCACCCTGACAAACTGAAGATTAAAAAGGTGACAGTACTGCATACCAAAATGGGGGAAAGGGTGGGGGGGGGGGGGGGGGGAACCTGCCAGAAAGGAACAATGAGAAATCTTATGTGGTTTGGTACTTCAAGCACTTATGAAGATTTATCAGCAGGCAATCAAGGTGATTAAAATCTTTACTTCTATGTCCTAATCAAAGGGACTGTACTTGATAGTATGAATTATTTCAGGACAGGAGGTTACATGGTAGCCATCAGTGGGCCTAAAATATAGCTGTGCTGAAGGTTGAATGTGATTTATGGGATTTTCTTCAATTAAATTTCCCCCCAAATGTGATGTATAATGAGGAGAGGGGAGGGGGGAGGGTTTCTTAGAGCCAGGGGATTTAGGGCAGTATGGCTAGTATCATCACCACGGACTATGAAGGTTAAGACTATTTTTCCCTCGACAAAAAATCCTTATAATGATTTGAACCTGGGTATCCCCTGACAAGTGCCCTGCATTCTTAACTCTTTCAATTCAAAGCAAGGCCTGAAATGTGAATACCATTGATATTCCTCCATAGCATAATGTGTTATTTTAACTTTAATATTCGGTGAGAATAAATAAACCTGGCTTTCCTAATAGTATAGTCACTAGCCTTGTGCATTTTGCCACTCTGAAAGTAGCGAGCTCATGATTTTCATCATAATTATTTGTCTTCTGCGAAATCTTCCGGTACTCTTCTTCTTCTTCTTTATACAGATATGGCTAAACTGCATGCAGATTGTTGGTTCCTTGCCTCTCAGACAGATGCACTCTGACTTTGAAGGTAGCCGCCCCTTTCAACATGCTTGTTCAGAGCCAGTGGGTCAATTTTTTCCCCTTTACAATGAGGCCCCAGAACCCACAAGGTGATATTCCGGTACTGAAAGAGTTAACAGTATGAACAGTCACTCCCTAGCAAGAACAGCTATAATCAGCAACGAGAATTGCAAGGCGAGGTGTTTGTTGGGGCAGAGTCAATTAAAAAACAACAGATCGGCACAAGTCTAAGCTAAAAACTATTCACCCCATTGGCTGCTGCCATTTTAATGACTAAATGGACCGCCTCTCTGCAAAAGAATCGACCGTCTCCTCCGACTGCCAAGCTCGACCCGTTCAGCTTAACACCCAGCCCAGCCAGAAGACTTGCTTGGATGAAATTCTCCGAGTAGTGAGGCTGCTGGAAGACACCCACGGGTTTTCGGAGGCCAGAGGTCCCTGGTTTCTGACCGTCAAACGGAGTGGTTAGGATTGTTTCCACCTTGTTCGGGGCCATGGCTCCCTGCCTCACAGCAGCTCACAACCCCTTGCGAAATGTTTTAGCACGCTAGTGAATAAATGAGAATCATGAATGGAAGCTGTATGTGGGAGCCATGTAAAAACCAGACATGGCCACTTGTGACCGTGAGGCCAGATGATTAAAACGTTTCCAGGTCAAATTTTATTATTTTTGTCTCCCGAAGTCATTAAAAAAAAAACTTATACTGATTTGATTTGATTCAAGAACCGCCACAGCACTCGGGGCATTCCCATAAGTGCTCCGTCCCCATCTTCAGCAGCCAGCGAAGAGTTCCGATACTGATGGTGCCAGTAGCAATCTGATTAAAAGTCCGTCTTGCCTTTCCTCTGAGCCTCGATCATCTGCCAGAACCTCTCGTCACTCCCCCCTGCATCAATCTCACCAGTCTGTGGTGATCCATCTGCTCCTCCTAACTGTCCACGCTCTCCAACAAGGCACTAACCACGTCTGCCTTATCATGTATCAGTATTCCACCAAGTCGTGCAGAGCCAGCCAGACTGTCCGCCTGTTCATTTCCCAACATACCGGTGTTCCCTGGTGAAAAAATTCAGACAATGCTCCTCCACCCGTGTCTTCCGCAGCGAAGCATGCCACTCTGCACGAAGCATACCTGTTCTGATCTTCCTCAGCATGCTTTCTGAATCAGTTACAATCACGATGTGTGTGTGTGTGTGTGTGTGTGGTGTGTGTGTGTGTGTGTCGTGTTCTCTAGCCAGCGGAAAGCCGCAGTGACCGCCTCCACCTCCATTCTTAAGCTGGATGTTGTGGTATCATATGCCAGGCTCTCCTGCACCAAACGTTGACCATTAGCTTTTGCTAAGAAGACCCAAGCCCGAATTTCGCCTCTTGGCACTGAACCGTCTGTGTAAATGATCAAATCCTCTGAGCGAGCATTATTTTGAATTAATTGCTGAATTTCCACCTCTGTGGCATCTGCTGACCGTCTCTGCATTCCCGGCTCAGCGTGATTATGACTCTACGCAAGTCTGACTGTTCAGGTGGCACGTTGACCCACTCTTTTCCTCGCCTAATGTTCTCAAGGATGCAAACCCGTCTGATTGTGACTTCTGCCTGAGCCATCCATGACCTCCCTCTTATCAGCCGCTGACGATTACTCCACCCAGAGCTTCATTCAACCAAACTGATACTATTTCAAATAATAACAAGCATAACAAATTCACAGACATCGTCCTGTTTTGCCGTTAAACATCACATAGTACTCACAATTCTTCCATTTCGTTAGAAGAAGACAACAATCTCTTTGTGGTACCGGTGTACCATTGTTGGGTAGGGGGAGGTGGGGGAAACAAGAATAGACCCGTTGACCCTCAAACAAGCAGGTCGTAGAAGTCGACTTATGGGGGACACTCGTCAAAGTCTGAATGCATCTTAAAAGAAGCAAGGAATCAATAGTCCGCATACAGATACGCCAGATATGTAAAAGGAATATGCAGGCAACATTCGGATCCTAAAACGATACTAAAGTTCGGAGGGGGGTGAGCAACGAGAACTGTTCGCCGGTTTACAACCCGTGAATACGAAGAAGAGAAAGAAGAAGAAGCAGCAGCAGCAGCAGCCCCATAAATGAGATGATTTTCTATCGCTTCTGGGCTATTTGAAGAGAACTTTATATTCCTACATCAACCCAGGACTCTTGTTACTTGGTATCCGAAAAACACCCCCACCCCCAATATAACTTATTTGTGTGGTTGATGGGTTATCTGGGATGTGTGCCTATTGAAGTTCCCGGGAACAAGGGGAATGTGTGGGATACAAAAACAAATTACACAAATTACTAACACAAACGAATACTACATATACACTAGTAAAAAAAATTCACTGAAATACAGTGGACACTACTAATCGAAATGATAACCCTGATGATTAAACAGTATGCAGTAAAAAAAAATCTATATATATAAAAATCAATGTTTGTGTGTTTGTTTGCCCCCTATAGACTCGGAAACTACTGAACCGATTTAGCTGAAATTTTCAGGATATGTTTGTTTTGATACCAGATGTTGAACCATCATGGTTTGAAATCCAACCTGTCACTGTTAGAGATAGGTGACCACAATTTAAGCCATAATATTCGAAACTAATATTTATAATTTTAGTGATTTCTAATTATAGCCACGTTAGTAATTGCGCATGCGCCGTGCAGTCAACACCTCCTCTAATACGTAGAGTAGGTCGTGGTACAGCAAACAAGACTATATCTATATCTAATGTAATCGCCACAACAGAAAAAGTTGATAACTGGAAATACGAATTCCAGACACAAAAACGCCGACCTCGATATAACCACTGCTCAATATAGGAGCCGGTTGAAAGAGGCACGAAGTTTTTAGTTTTTTTTCGAACATCAAGATCAAAATGATTGCCACAACAACTATATTAGACACGATTTCTATTTTCTTGGTTTTTTTTTTTCCAAACATCCTTCGATGAGTTGAAAAGTAGCCGATGCATTGGTAGGGAAAAAGAGGGGGGGGGGAGGCATCAGGGACTATCTCGACGTCTGCGCAGACATTGACTGCGACATTAACCGTGATAGACACGTGCGATTTCTGTTGTTGTGCCGTTTCATTAATATATTTGGAATATCTGTCTATGAGAAAACAATTGCCTGCTGTTTTGAGTTGTGTTATAATCGGGACACTGCAGTAGGGACACACATCGAAAATAGTTATGTACTCTTTTCGCTATTCCGATCCAGTGGTTGCTAGGTCGAATGGTTAGAACACTCGGCTCTTGAGAGGGAGACTAGGGTTCGAATCCGCAGTAGTTTTTTTTTTTACTTAGGGCTAAAATAAAATCCTCACCTGCACTGTCGTGGCGACAGCACTAGCCATATGGCCCTTAATGATATATATTAAAAAAAAAAGGACAGGTTTGTGGGTAAACCAGTTGATAATTAAATTTGACCATTTCACATACTAATGATTTCATTTTAAACTTTTCGATTGCATGGTTACGCTGAAATTTCATAGCTTTCCATTTTTTTTTTCATTTAGATTTAATTATTTCATCTGCGTTGGAATTTTAAGCTGTGCTGTTTACCATAGCGTTTATTTCCTAATTCTGGTGTATTTTTCCTGTTTTAATTGCTTTTCAATTGGTTTTTTTTCCCCTCTCAACTACTTCGATGAGGGAAAGAGTAGTCGGTGAATTTTTTTTGGGGGGTGGGGGGGGGGGGGGGGGGGGGGGGAAACTGATTACTGAGAGAGCTTCAAGTCACAGTAACTGCTTTACCCACTCAAAGTAGCATCAGCAGTAGTAGTTGTGGTTGGGCGGTTACACCGTAGTGCTCTCATGTGAAGACCGCCGGTAAAGTTATGGCATTCTTCTGTCGCGGAGCTAAATCATACATCCTAACCTGACCAGTCCGTGGCGACAGCACTAGCCATGCGGCGCCAAATCTTCTGGCTCACGACTTCCTGTCTACTCTGATGGTAAAACAGATAGCAGTGACATTATTTTAGCTACTGTGGTGGTGGTCGTGGTAGTAGTTGTACTGGTACTTGAAGGATGATGCGGTAAATATTACATTAGCCCCATTCACTACCTATTACAATTCCTGCTCCCAATTTAGTCTGGATGGACAGGGATGTCAATGTCAGTTACAACAAAAAGAATATCTCCAGGTGATGATTTTTCAATCCTTCGAAGAGGGAGAGAGCAGTAGTCGGTGGAAGAGGGGAGGGGAAAGGGTAATGACTGAAATTTAAGAGAACTTGAAGAGCTTTACACATGATTTTTAAGTTCCCATTACTTACTTAAATTGTTTATATTTTACTAACGCTACCTTCATTATTCTAATTTTTGTACGACTTACTTTATTATTTACAAGTACAGTAGTATCTTTACTTACGTCTCCTATAAAAATACAAACAGCTTTAGCATGTGATAACCAAATAACCACTTTTGTTACTGTGCTAATAGCACCATTTAAACGACCACTAATATAAAGACACAATTATATGGTGCGTGTTCTAAAGTTGGAAAACCAGACTATCTCTATATAAATGTGCAGAGAATGATTGCGACATTAACTATATTAGACAGGTGCGATTTCCATTGTCTTTCTTTTCCAAAAACCTTTGATGAGGGAAAGGGTAGTAGGTGGATTTAGTTATGGGGGTGGGGGGGGGTGGGGTGGGGATCAAAGTCTATCTCTTATATCTGAGCAGACAATGATTGTATTAGACACGTGCGATTTCTATTTTCTTTCATTGCCATTTAGCCAAACTATGCCACAGCAACGCGTGGCCGGGTACAGCTAGTTAACAATAAAACTCACATATGGTTGAACGGAGTGTCTGTGATTTGTGCCTATTGGATTTACATCAAAAAATGGGCTCATTGAGCCTCAATGTGTCAATTACAAGCTGAGTTTCCGGAAAAAAAGGGAGTGGAGTGGGGTACAAAAACAAATTACAAACATGATGTAAAAAAACACCATATATAAACTGGTAAATTATTCACTGAAAGTACAATGGACACTATATCGAAACGATAACCATGATGAGTGAACAGGAGGTTATTTAACAAAACAACAACAACGTATGGGGGAGCTCAGCATTAAGTCTCGGTGTCCCTCAACAATGATATCCTGTTCAACGATGAAGATTGGTTATAACTGGAGTATATGGACATTTTATTTTCTATTTCATATATATTATATATATATATATATATATATATATATATATATATATATATATATATATATATATATATATATCGTGTGTGTGTGCTTGTCAGTTATTTTGATGATTGTATTATTCTATAGGGTGTCAGAAGCCACCACAAGACGCAGTGATATCCCTTAATGTTATTTCAAATATATTATGTTTATTCACTATCCAACACACAACAATAATGAAAAACGCCTTATTATTATACACTTAAATAAGGCTTATGCTTTTTTGAAAATCATATGGAGGCTGAAGCGCGGCCTCCTTGCCCAATATTTTCCTTATTAATGGTGAAGTTTGAAAATGTCAGATACCTAATGAACTTAAAATTCCTTACAATTAATTACAGAGAATGCAATTAATTTTAAAAAGGACATTTAAGAAAAGTAAAAACACTTAAAGATGTTTCGTTTCTTCATGGCTAATACTAATATCTGTTAATTTAGCGCGACCGATTTTGGCAGTTTGGCATCGCTTTCACTAAAATCCGGCAGTCACATAACAAAAATGGCCGACGAAGATGGAATTGAAGCTTTCGTGAATAGTAGAAACTACCCACGCACAGATGATAAAGATGACAATAGACGCAGATCTAGCAGAGATGGTGACCGACATCGTGGTCAGCGTGACAGTGATCGCTCTAGAAATGACAGTGACAAACATAAACGAAGGCGATCAAGGTCTCGTTCAGGGTCACGCGAAAGAACTTCAAGTCGAAGTGGGCGAGAAAGAAGTCGAAGAGAAGAAAGGCGTCGGAGTGATGACGACGAGGATGAAGGTGCTTATGGAAGCAGTCAGAAGGGTGAAAGTGGAGACTACGAAGAAGAAAAGTTTCAAGTAAGAAGAGATAGAAGGGATGATGACCGCCCAAATGGTGACAGAATTACTGGGCATGATTGGCGGTGTAAATTAACGTCTATCAGAGATGCCCACTTCAACAGAAACAAACAGGCACCGGTTTTAGTAAAGAATCAGTTTAAAAACGACGGCAGCTTTTTAGAGATGTTCAAGAAAAGGATGGCAGAGCAAGCAGCTAAAGGAGAGGATAAACAATCAGTGACTCCAAACTCATTGGTACTTGCGTCATCTTCGATTCCATTCAGCGCACATTTGTCTTTGCCGCCGCTGACACTAGTTCCAGCTTCATCTACTGATGTATCCCAAACTTCAGGGGGAATAGATCCAGATGAGGATGTAGATGGTGTACCTATGCCTACTCATAAACCTTTGCCAGTGCCAGTATCTGTAAGACAGTTATTCATCTTTCTATTCTTACCATTAGTGGTAGTATTAGTTAACACATTAAGTTTGTCAGTATTGATAAGTGTCTCATAAGAGTAAGAGAAAACATGCAAACCATAAGAAAACAGTTAAAATACGTTAGTAGGGAAGAAATATGATAGTACCATCAGAGATATACTTGCTTAAAGATGGCATGAGATATTGACATTTATTTTGGTAATGCCTTAATTCTTAATATAATATGATTTAAAAGTATCTGAGGCTGTGAATACCAACATCTACATAGCACACACCACACACCAAGACTTGCCTCTGATGCCTCTTCAAAAAACGTGATGCTGAAAGGTAAAACAGGGTCTAGAGAAAATAAGAAGACAGGTACCAAGTAACTTATCCTGTGTTTGAAGAAAGGCACCGATTATTTTTTTGATTTTCTTGAAACATTTTGAGTGACTCATATGTCCATTCATTGGCTAATGAGGCTCACCAGGAAAGTAGAGAGTAGTAGCAATAGCATTGGCTACTGTTTACCTTATTATAATAGGTGAGTTGCCATGAGACTATCATGAAAGTTTGGCTGCAAAATGTTACTGTTTTTATTGTAAGAAGATGAGCTTGAAAGCAGTGCATATTCAGGTGTGAAGTAGTTCAGACACTATCAAATGAAGGTGTTTAATTGATAACTCATGGATCCTCAATGCCAAGATGTCACACTGTCCAGCATCTTTTCTCTTGGTCTCCCTCTGCCTCTCCTCTCCTCCAACTTTCCTACTGTTGCGATGAACTCCAATTTTCTTCTTTTCATCACATGACCACAGATTGTCTGTTTCTGATATGGGCAATCAGTTCTCAATGTGTCAGTTTCTTTCAAGATGTCTTCATTACTCTTTTTGTCTCTTCTCATTATTCATCCATAAAACCACATCTCTGCAGCTTCTAAATAAGTTTTTACTAATTTGCCAACTATCCATTATTCACTTCCGTATATCAAGATAGGATTTATATAGCTTTTAAGAATTCTCTTTCTCGTCTTACTTGACAGAAATATATATATAAATATATATATATATATATATACACATGCACACACACACACACACACATATATATATATATATAATATAGGCGTTAAAGCATGCCGAAAAGATAATTAGCCAGATATAATATGGGGAGGAAATAGGCTGAGCTGCAAAAGGTAGTAAGGAATAGGGCTGTTTCATTAGAGTAGGTTGAGAGCAGAAAAAAGAACGCAAAAGCAAGGTGTGAGGAAACAGCAATCTATTTATGAACATCCCTGTGGGGGTTCTCAGCCACATTGTGGTGAAAATAAGAATAGACCCACTGTCTTCCCAATAATCAATTTTTAATATGAACACTGAGCCATAGTAGCCAAATTGATCTTTGAGGTTTGGCAAGAAGTCTGCAGACATTATTTAATTGCTTCTAGTGGCAGGATTTTTCCATCCAGTTTGACTCTCTCATTGATTCGGTTTTGCACAGGAATGCCAGGTATTTTTCTTGTTCTAGAGATTGCCTGAGAAGGAAAGGCAGCAAACAAGACTTTAACCATGACCTTGTATAAGTGTTAACCAAACATTTTACTCTCCTTTGACCACCTCCATCATGGAATATCCATTGCATGTTTTGAAAATATGGATTGAGCTTGCTCGTGTTTTCATAATGATTTACTACATGAGTATTTTCTTGCAGAAGCAGCAAATTTATATTTTATTACTCTTGTTTGTAATTATGTTTTTCCTATAGGTGATGAGTATTTCATCTTTATTTGCCCTTAAATGGGACACTGTGTTGTGGTTTACAGCTAGGGTGCGATATGTGTACCTTTTGGCCTTCTTTGCATTTTGGCCAAAGCCATCTGATTTCAGCAAGTTACTTGCCTTTTATGACATGCTTGTTAAAGGGCAATAGGGCTGTTCTTTTACCCTCCAAAATGTTTGCCTTTAAACCCACATAATCAGTATTTAACTGTTACATATAGTATTATAGATGGATTAAAAAAATTTATCTAAAGTATTTTCAGGATCCTCGCCGGTGCTATGGTGTTTGTTCACTGCACTGAGATTCTTCAAACTCAGGCTTGAGTAAGAAGTAGAACGGAGCACTTATGGGTTTCTATCCTTATGCCATGCTGTTGATCCGTTTTTTAAACCTAAATCAAACCTAAATGTAGAGGTAGCTAGGATTGCGGCAGGATAAATAGTTTTAAAATGTAGGTCTGTCATATGGCAGACCTGGGTTCAAATCCTCAGTAAGGTTTGGACATTTTTTCATGGCCATGTTGCCCTAAATCCTCAGGCTCAAAGACCCTCCAGCGTGCACCGCTTTCACCACCTGTAAACTCTGGCAGAAAGTTCTGGTTGTTCAGCCGCTTCTGGACTTTAGACTTGTTCCAGAACCTCACTGTTACCTGCACATCCATTTTACAGATCTGATCTATTTGTATGCAGGCTGTTGATTACTTGCCTTTCAGGCAGATGCACCCCAGTTAGTTGACTCTTTTGACATGCTTGTTGGGCAGGCAGTGGGTCTTGTTTCCCCCACAATGGGCCCACAGAACCCACATGGGGAACCAAACTGTTGAAAACGATGATTATTGCAGGCCGGAGCTCCAGCATAGAAATATCACTTTTTACAATACAACTCTGCGGGTCACTTGCTAGGCTTCCGCTGGCTGCCATTTGAATAGCCCTGGTGTAATTAGTTTCATCATATAAAAGGGCATTTTAAAGGCACACGGATTCACTTTATTTCATCGGGTTTTATGCCAAATGGCTCAGTATCTGTCTGCAGGGAGAGCTGGTCACCCATGAGAGTCTCATACAGTGTGAACTGAGGAGCTCCAGTGATGATATCTAAAGATATCCAAATCACTTGTACCCATGCACTGAATGGCACTGTCTGAAATGAAACACATATAGCCATCCTTTGGATATTTTCTCCTGGTTATACTGGTGTGTTGGGAAATGAGCAGGCAGATAGACTGGCTGGCTCTGCACCACTTGGTGGTGAATTGATTTATGATAAGTTAGATATTGTAAGGGCTTTTTGGGGTGAGTAAACAGTGCTGAGGTGCAGATAGATCATTATGGTCTAAGAAAAATGGCGCTGCCAGGAGTTACCAGGGAATCTGGCCGACGCTGAAAACTCAAGGAAACTGATGAGATGGATATACAATCAGATGGTTACTGGTACCATCAGAATTATAACTCCCCTGTGTGGGTTCCGGGGCCCCATTGTGGGGAAAACAAGAATAGACCCACTGCCTCCCCAAAAGCATGTTGTAAGAGTCAACTAATTGGGGAGCTTCCTTTGAAGACGGAGTGCGTCTGCCGGAGAGGCAAGGAACCAACAGTCTGTATTCAAGAGAATGAGATCTGTAAAACTGATGCACACGCAACATTCAGGTTCTGGAGCAGGACTGCAGTTCAGTAGTAGACGAGCAACCAGAACCTTCCGCCAGAGTTTACAGCTGGTGAACGCGAAGAAGAAGAAGAATTATAACTCTTCGCTTACTGCTGAAGATGGGGACTGAGCACTTATGGGAGTATCCCGAGTGCTGTGATGTTGATTCTTAATTCAACATTCAAACACATATAGCCTTCAGGTACAAGACCTGCACAATAATTCCTTCATTTTGTTTTGGTGAAAGTGAACTCCAAGATGTAGACTGCCACTCCTATTTAGGCAGTAATGTTGATAAAGATAAAACTGATATAGATACACAAATACAGATAACAAAAATAAAAGGAGTTTTCTTAGCACCAGATGTGGAATTCCAAGGGAATTATAACTATAATAAACTTAAAATAATTTGCTCTGATCAATACTGTTATTTGGAGTGGAATTCTGGCATAAGGCCACACCATACACAGATGTGTACTTCCCCAATCCTAGCAAGCGCCTACTGTGTTCTTTTCACCACCTCTCATGACATGTGTGTAGGTTAAGTTTTGAGAGCTCTCTTCCCCCACCCATGGATTTTTTCTGTAGATGGTAATCAAATGATTATGCTGGTAAGTAAGACTTCAGGTTCATGGAACAAAAATAGCTTCAATCTCATTTTATCTCGCTGGACTTCTTGGTTGTTCTTTTGATATCTAATGCTAGTGCCACTTTTTTTTAAGGTACACAGAGAGAAACAAAACATGTTATTTTTACATATTTTCTCAGGCCACCACTCTGTGAAGACCATACTGCTATGCGATCTGCATGTCGGTCACTAATTAAAATTCGAAATGCTCTTTGAGCTGTCTCACTAAAGCTTATGGATTCGCTTTTTTTGTTGTTTATTGCCATTGTGGCATAGTCATGATGCATCCTGGGATGGCTTATGTCATCCGATCCAGGGAGACACTCAGTTTCTACCTGGCAAACCTATTCCGTTTGGCTATCCTGTTTCCTTCTCTGTCATTATAAACTTGGCTGTTATGATCCCAGAGCATCTGACTGAGTGGTCAGGACTAGGCTGGTATTCAGGAGTCCTGCATTTGTATGCTCAGTAAGGTGATGGTTTTTGTGTGTTTGTGTTGGCTGCAGAAACAAATTCTTAACCTTAAGTTCTTGGCAACTGCACTAGTCCTGAATCTTGGGGCTAAAGACGACTAGTGTCCTAAAAGGTGGAATGAGAGCAGTGAAAGCGTTTTATTAGGATTGATTTAAAAAAAATTACCTAATTCCTAACAATTTATAAGATATTATAAACTTTTCACAGTTCAGTTTTGAAATAATGTTCATGTATGACACATTTATAATTGTTTTAAGCTATAAAACCTGAGTGGACATACTGATAATACTGTTTGTCAAAAATGGATAATTTGCATTGGGAAAAAACTGCATGAAGATTCCACAGCTGTTACTTATTTAATGCACATGTTAGACTGAAATATTGATGGCTTCTGAAATTGTGAACATTCATCCCTCTTCTGAAAACATGAATGGCTATAGTTTTGCAAGCTCTTCCGAGGTATGAAACAATAAGGTTTGTTTTTACAGGTGGGTAAACGCAGGCTTGCGAAGCCCCTTAAGACCGGCATTGTCGCCAAGAAACCACAGGAGCCTGAGGAGGTAAACGTAGTCATTGCTAGTAAATATTATTGGGGTATTAAGTTTCTGTGTTGTTCATGTATGTTTTATTTCTAGAGTGTCTCCTCTTCTTCATCTTGTTATTCCAACCAGCAGTTTTCAGTTGAAAAAGCCACATGTCTCTTTCATCGTTGTGGAGTGACACACATCCTCCACTGATCCACACAGCTTGGTTTCCATCGAAGTGCTAACTGGCCAGATCTGGGATCATTCTACTTAATTCATCATCATCGTCATCCCATAACACTGCATGTTCATTGGTGACCAGTTGCTTTTGACTGTCTGATCAGCTCCCTCCACATTTGACTTCATGGTTGCATGCCAAAGGACTGTCCAGTCAGTCAAGTTCTGTACCCAGGTCTTTCTTGGTCTGCCTCTTCTTCTCTACCTTTTTAAGTGTCTGAATGATTAGTTTATAAAACATAAACTGTATAACATATAAGATTAATTACACAAAAAAGTGCAAGTCTATACTGTAAATATAACTTCCTATAGTCTTTGCCATATTGTTATCATGTCAGTTCACAGCCTTTTGTCTCATATACTGCCAATCAGCTCTGGTACAGATGTTCTTCCATGCATTGGTACCAGGTTGACAAACATTCTCTTCCTTGCTGTTCTCCCCCCTCCCCCTCTTCCCCCAGTGCTACAGTAGTTGTGCCATACTCGTTTTCCTCTTCTTGTGCTTCTTGTGACATACCCAGAGAATATAAATTGACTTTTCCTAATTTCTGCAAGCATTTCTCTTTGTGATTTGATTTATTTTGATACGACTTCATTATGCTTTTGATCTGACCATGATGTTCTCATTTGGCTTCTTTAAAACCAGATCTTTGCAGCTTGCAAATTCTGTTTCACTGATCATCTGATTCATTGATTCACTTCTGCATAGCAGGATTAACAGAATATAGATCTTAGAAAGACTCTTTTTGATAAAGTTTATATTTCAGCCTTGGAAAATAGTCCCTCAGCCAACTCATGCCATTTTGTCCTATCCTTTGTTATCTCCATCAGCTCACCACTGTCTCTCTCTCCCCACCCCCTCCCACCTCATTCTCTAATTATTATGTTTTTTCAGGTCTGTCTTTTTCTTTTCCCTGTGAAATGCTTTTGCTTGGAATTTATGTGTGTATATTTAAAGTAATCAAACAATTTCAGTTTACATCACCTGTAATAATTTTAAAATAACCTATATAAAATAGTAATGGCTAAATAATAAATACTTAAAACAGTACTCTTAATAATGTTAATGACACAAATGGCAAGAAACCTGTGTAAATGTATAAAACTAAAGAAAATTGGTGAGTACTTGTGCACACATCTTCAAACTGAACCTAATCTTGACAGCAAGACAGTCATACATTGGTGACCAGCTCGTTTCGATTTCAATTACGATACTTATGCTTGAAGATTTTTCTGTGCAGGATGAAGCCAGTCAGGAAAAGCTGGACGCTCTGTCACGCTACCTGCAGGAGGTCCAGAAATATAAAGCTGCCAATTGTGTCGATGAGGACAACAGCAGACCGCTGGTGAAATAAATCCGACAGTTTCATTCTTATCTTTACGCTAATGTCTGTTATTAGTCGCTCTGTAGTCCTTGTTTCATTATTACCATCCAGCTTTGGTAGGAGATATGCCTTGTACAATTACTGCATGCATTTTCTGTCCTCACCGGATCACAGTACCTCAGTAATATCTTAGAATGTTTTGTATTTTACACATTTTTCACCCCCTTTTTTAACTTGTTCTTCTTTTTCTTCTTCTTCTTCTTTTTCTTTTTCTTCTTTCCCCTTATTGATTTGATCATGAAAAACACCTAGTATAGTTGCCATTAAAAATAGTTTTTTCTGCATAAAAGTCAAGTGTCTTGAAAGTTTTGTGTTTAAAGTAATTTTTTTTTACATTTTTTGGCTTTCTTATTCTTCCCTCTTGTTTATATGATTGTAAATCACGTTAGAAGGGATGACATGAGAAGAAAATTTTTTATTTTTGTTTCCGTATGGGTTCTGGGGCCCTATTATAGGGAAAACAAGAGTAGACCCACTGCCTAACCATAAGTATGTCGTAAGAGTCGACTAATTGGGACCTTCCTTCAAAGTCGAAGTGCATCTGCCTGAGAGGCAAGGAACCAACAATCTGCTTACAAATTAGTCAGATCTGTCAAGCGGATGCACATGCAACACTCAGGTTCTGGAACAGGATTGCAGTCCAGAAGTGGATGAACAACCAGAACTTACAGAGTTTACAGCCGGTCAACGCGAAGAAGAAGAAGTTTCCATCTATAAAATATAAATATAATTGACTTAAAAGACTGAGGCATATTTAGAGAATGTCAGAAGATCGAGAGGTAAAAACTGTACACAAGGGAGTTGAATGGTCATAGACCACGAGGTAGACCAAGAAGTTAGTGGAGAGATAATATACAGGCAGACCTGCAAACATTTGGTGTCACCCACTGAAAAGAGAGGGGTAGTCACAAAGGTGAGTGGAGGTGGGCAATATCTGCAGCAGTTAACTTCAAGGGCTCGGAATGCTGAAGAAGAAGGTAGAAAGTTTAAATGTGTTTGTTTCAAACAACTGCCTTAGAAATTAGTGAGTTTAATTACTGATTTACATTATCGTTAAATTATGTGTAAAATTGTTTTTAAATTAGATTTCCTACATGTTTTGGATGTTATATTCTGTAAATAACTGTCTCGGAAATTAACTTTAATTTCTAACTTTCACAGTTTTTAAATCTGTCAAAAGCTAATTGTAATAATCAGGGGTTGTAGCAGACCTTGATAACTTGAAAAACAATAGAACAACAATTTAGTTTCAATTTTGTGAAACTCTAGAAATGGGAAACAAAAAGATGAAAAAGAATTCAACAATGTACTGTAAATTTTAAAGGAGCTAAGAAAGGATCTTTGAAATATGAAATTATTTGAACTTTGTTTTCTATAAATCAACATTTTTAAAGGAGCTAAGAAAGGATCTTTGAAATATGAAATTATTTGAACTTTGTTTTCTATAAATCAACATCTGGTTTGGGTTAAAAACATTAGAATCAATAAACATTTTTGAAAAAAAGTTTCAAAGGATTTGCTGTTGTCTAATAATTTGGCTTGTGGAAAGGGGGGGGGGGGGGGGGGAATTCTCCACTTAGATACTTAAAGATAACCTTGAAAATGAACTGAGTAACATATTTTAACATATTTTTTTTATTATTGATGCACAATTTTACAGTTTGTGGAAAATTATGTAGTAAGAAACTTCCACTTGTTGCTTTTTTTTTTTTTTTGGCCAGCCCTACTTGTGAAATGTTCATTTGAAGTATGTTAATTAACTTCATATAATTTTGTATTTCTTGTTATGCCAAGATCACTCTGTTCCCTCCTTCAGTTATCAGGATCAGATTTACAAACACATTTGTTGGTTTGACTGCTAGAAAGAATGTATAAAATTTTTTATTTCTGACCTGAACAAAAGGGAAAAAAGCTTTTTCTGCTTTCTCTGTATTCTTTAGACATTAGCCTATATAGATTTGAAGAAAGAATGAAGTTGCTATCTCCATAGAACCTGCTCTAGAATAGTGTTATGGTAGGACACTAGTGTTGTTTCTCTTCTCCAGAGACAGTTCTAGACTCTCTTGAAACAAATGGTTTAGTCATCTTTCTAATCACTCACAGCCACATTCACCAGTAGTTGCTGTTCATAAATAGTTATTTAATAGATTTTTGTGTTGTTGTCCCATTCATTTACTGTGGCAAAACAGCATTTACCCATGGGGACATATTTAATTCTCCTGTCCTCGCAAATTCTTTTTGTTTTTGGATTTGTGCATTTTTCATTTTCACCTACTCAGGTTACAATGAGTCTCCAACACCCTCTGCTGTGTTATCACTGCATTCTTTCCAGTTGTTCATAAGTGTCCCCATAGTTTGCTTCCTCAACCACTTTTCCTAGCAGCAAATCTTTAAAAAAGTAGATGTATCTTTACACCAAAATCATTTTTCTTGCTTTGATCTTCTTTGTGTTCAGCATCTATAAACTCTGATGGAAAGTTCTGGTTGTTTGTCCACTTCTGGGCTCTGGTCTGGTTCCAGGACTTGAATTTTCAATGCAGACAGGATTTTACAGATCTGGCTTATCAGTGGGCAGACTGTTTATTCCTCGTCTCCCGGGGAGATGCGCTCCAACTGTGAAGGAAATGTTGATCCTATCAATGCTGGCGAAGCTCCTAGTTTGGAACACGTGTCTAGGATGACAGTGTAGAGATGTAGGCAGGGTTTGACCAATATGAGCCCCCTGGTCTTGATGGATTACCACAACTGGTTCAGCAGCTCTGCATCCCTCACTTCAGTCTCATTCAATGTATGTTATTTTCATTATGAGATCTGTCATATTCCTCAAATTTTCCATTGCAGCCAAATTTTTCCTATTCACCGCTGTCCTCATAGCGTTTCATTCTTTGTCCACATTTCTGCACCAAACAGTAATTAAGTATAAATGTAATACTTGATAATTTTTAACATTGTAAATATTGAGTTAGAACATTAATCGTTACAAGTGTAAATATCAAATTTACCTATGTGTGTGCATGTTTTCAGCAGCTGTAATTAACACTAGTTTGTAAAAATAAAATAATATTCACATTTTAATGTACTTGCTTTTGTGATCGTACAACATTAATTTCATGTCCTTTTTTTTAGCCAGTGAAATCTTTAATATTGTTCAGTATCAATGTAGAATGTTCACTGTTTATAAATTTCTTATAGTTTTTGTCATGTGGCATTGGTCATTTTAGGGCAGGTTAGGATGTTTATTTTCACCCCAAACAGAAATTAGCAGGAAGTGACGAGAGGGTCTGGTGGACTTATAACTGCTGTGGTACCATTGGTATTGGAACTCTCTGTTTGCTGCTGAAGATGGGGATGGAGTGTTTATGGGAATTTCCTGAGTGCTGTGATGTCGGTTCTTGAATCGACTCTGTATGCAGACTGTTGGTTCCTTGCCTCACAGGCAGATGGCCTCCGACTTTGAAAGAAACACCTCAGATAAGTAGGTCTGTACGAATAGCAGGACCAACTATTCAACCGAATAAAAATAGTGTATGCTATATAAAATATATCTCCCCCCAAAAAAAACACACACATTCATAATGTCACATGTACGCTGAACTTTTACTTCACATAAAGTAGCACAGAATAGTCATCTTCTTCTTTAGCATTCTGAGCCCTTGAGGTTTACTGCTGCAGATATCACTCGTCTCCATTCATCTCTCTGGCTGGCCTTCTCTGCACAATTTGTGACACAATTTTTTTGCAGGTCTGACTGGGCATGATCTCTCGAACTTCTTTTTTGTCTGCCTCGTGGTCTACGCCCATTCCTCTTTCAGGTGTATACAGTTTTTACTTCTCTGTCATCTGACATTCTTTCAATATGCCCCAACCACTGATCAATGGTGATTTAAACATATTATGTGTGATGTTGTTGCTTCTCACTCTCCATTCCCCGCTGTTAGCATCTTTGATGGGTCCAAAGATTTGTCGTAAGACTGTTTTCGAAAGCCTGTAATAAGGCCTCATCTCTTTTATTTCTGCTCCAAGTTTCAGAGCCATTTAAAACTACTGGTCTTATCAACGCTTTATATATTTTGATCTTGGTGTTGCGAGACAGCCACTTTGACTTTAGCAGATGTTGAAGGGCATAGTATACTTTATTTATAGATTGTATTCTAGATTGTATTTCTTCTCTCAGCATGTTGGAGCATTTGAAGTATGCACCCAAGAACTTATACATTTCAGTTCGTTTGATTTTTATATTATCGACTTGGATGTGGCCGGAGTTTATATTCTTTCCATGTCTAGTTAGTATTCGTACAGAATAGTAAATAATAGTAAAAACATTTTATGTTTTGCATCCTTCAGTCAGTCTGTGGTAACTAATAACTAGGAATGAAAGAATCCTAAGTACTATAACAAGTAACTAAACTTGGAAATTGTCACTGACAGCTTAGTTAACGCAGGACAGCTGCATTAGCTTTCAACAAAACCAAAGCCCGTCTCTCTAGCGTAGTTGGCTAAACCGGATTGCGCGGTGAGAGGGTGACGAACTCCTTGTGGTCCGGGTTCACTCCCGGGGGCGGGCAGAAAAGCCACATTTCTCCCAGATTTACGGTATTTAAAATGGAATCGAGGCCGAAAGGTTGCGATATCCATAATACCGAGCCTAAGGGTAAACAACTCATGACTTCTGGATACTAAAACAAACAACATCAATCGTTTCATGTTGTCAGCATTTAGGCCATGTTTGCAGAAGCGGGTGAAAGGTAACTACTATTCGTATTCGGCCCGACCGCAACTATTTGGCCGAATACTGAATAGTCAATAGGTCCACTATTCGGCCCTACTGATAAGTCAACTTTTACAACTTGCTTATTAGGGGGGCAATGAGTTAACTCCCCCCACCCCACCGGCACATGGGGAGACACCTAATGAATTAATAGAGCTGATTTAACTTTTGTAGTCAATTGTCTATTTCTGATTTGTGTGCC